GTCGTTCTGGTTTATGATATTTTCCAGCATGTTTCCACGTCGTGTCAAGTACTTGTTTTATCTTTCCTTCTCTTTCAGCCTTTTTCCGCCGTCATTGCTAGGTCCCCTACATGTTTACGTTTGTCGGCTCTGATGCTACTCTTAACTTGCTTGTTTGTCTCTGTGCATTAAGCTTGTGTCTTGGCTTTCTCTGCTCCTGCCCTGCTGATATCGATCATTGCCTTCTTGTTTCTAATTTCTAGAATTTTATCCAGTATATCGACAGTGATCCACTCCTTGTGATAGTGCTTCTTGTGACCCAGAATCTCATGAAAAGTTGAAATGAGTGCTTCCTTGAACTCTTTATAGCTGTTCTTCATAGTAGTTTACCCTCCATTTAGTAGATGATGAAAGGCCTGGAACCTATTACTAACAGTTATCTTGTATGCCTTGGGTTTTTCGGGATCTCAAAGAAAAGCCTTATGAAAATTTCGTGATCTTTTTCTACCAGTTGTCCTGTGCTTCTTTAGTTTCCGTTTCATCATGGCTACCAACAAGTGATGATCTGAAGCTATGTTGACCAGTTCTTATTTGGTCGCATTTCTTGGAAATAAGTAGCCTTCTCGATGGGTGCATAATTGCACACTGAAAAGGCGATTCCTAATGCTTCTCATTGCTCAGAGGTTTATTATAAGGCGCTTAGTTTTGGTATGTAGATGAAATGGTAGAATGGTTTACCAATCCCAGAAATCGTCATAGGGAACTAATCTGGCATGTTGGTGCATTTGATACCGGCCAAATTTTATTAAAAACGAGGTGTTTTCTGTCGCGGTTAAGAATAAACGACAGGAACAGGATCGAATTTATGACAGGCCTGCATTTCATTTATCTCAACTTAGAAACATAATCCTCGATATGTGCTAGGACCAGGTTCAAACTTGCAAATAATAATGTTTACCGTATAAGAGAGAAATCTCTAAGTGCCACATCCCACCAGTTGTAAGAATATAGCCGTCGACGACTTTATTTTAAATGGAAGGAGGGAATAGTTGTATAGAGTTTGGTACTTACTGGTATTAATCATTTATGTGCATGCTTCATCTGCTTCTGTCTTAAGATATGCATCAAACTAATCAATCCTTGCAAAGAATCTGCCTCCTATCAGTTTGGAAAAACTATTATCCTGGATGAATAGTGGATATTAATATGTTTCTCAAGAATTGTATAAAGCAATAAAAACCTGGACATAATTTAGTTGAGCTGTGCGATTGCCTCACTACCCAAATATCTGCTCCCTATGAGGATGTTGTAATGCTGCTATGTAGCTATTCGAGATCCTACTGATTGACCGAATTCAGATATTTCAGTAGGACCCCGAATACTGTTCCGAAATCTCCAATAAATTAGAATTCAACACCGTTAGATGAAGTTGTTTATGGGCTCGAGTACAGAAGGGATGGTGAAAAGAATGAATGGAATAATAGGCCTTACAGATAATGCATATTTCTACAGAGATCGATCTCAGTTACCCCAATCAAGTCTCCATGACCGATTCAGTCCAAATCCCACTGTATTTACCAATTCACATGTAACTGCGGAGAAAGTTAATTAGGGAGGACAGATCACCGATTGGAAGACAGGATAGGGGAACATATTCCAAAATGGTTAATCAAATCCATGATTAATCAACCTAGCCCATCATTTCAAAATCGATCAAGAAACCCAGCCTCGTCCATTGCAAAACATCTAATGATGAGTGGTCATCAAATTGACCCAAAATCAGCCTTTAGAGTTGTGACATGTAATCAAAACCCACACACACTGAAACTACTCGAAGCTATCTTGATTGGTCGGAAAAGTCCAACTTTATGTGTTCAAAAACAACTGTATGTTGACCTTTGTTAACCATGGTTCTAGTGAGTGAATGTCATGCTAAATAAGAAATTTTGACCTAATCTTCAAAACTGTATTTACACAAATAACATGTTGCTTGTATGTGACTGACGAGAAAGCACGAAATGGTACTATCTCGCAAAATATGTCTTCTTATTTCTCTATTCTAATAATTAGTGTTAAGTCCGAACACTAACCAGTGCTCTGATGACTTAAGTAACTCATATAAAATAAAGACGAGGTGAATGCTAAGCTAAGCTTGGAGGACGGCACAGTGACAACTTACCTTGACCGAAGAGGAAGAACAAACGCAATTATCACTAGCCAAGGACTGTCATTATACCTCAGACATCAGATAATATATATAAAAACCTAGACCTCACAACACACCGATTGGGTAATAATGTTAAGAAGAAATCAGAACATTCATAGCGGGAAAAACGAGGTAAAAGGTGCGAAAAATCGATCATGCTTTATGAGTGATAAACCGTATAGCATTAATTTCTGATTCATACAAAAGTTAAGAATTAAAGTAGTCGGAAATTAGAAGATCGAAATGCTCATTATATATAAATAAGACTGAAAAATAACCTCGAAAGCTTGTTACTTACAGGTTAAGTCGTCCGTTACAACTACATCAATAAATTTAGCGATGCGTTTGGTAGATAAAGGAGTCATTGTGGAAGAGATTCCTAAGATCTGGGAAAGAGGTTCGTACTTCAAGCTGCAATTTAATCATAAATTACTCATTTAAAAACATCGTTTATGTTTTATCTACTTGATCTCCAAGGGAAAATGTAGAACTTTATAAGCAGAATTATTTCGATGGATTTCGAAAGCCAAACCAAAAGTAGGAAGTCTGAACTGAATGTCCGATCAGAACTATTTCGTACGAACTCTTCGAATGTGTGGAGGCCATTTAAAAGATTACAGGTAGGAGACGAATTAGTGGGAATACTCAGCCGAATATTTGTGACTTTAATACGTCAATCATCTGGAGTCGTGCCTCTTCCATCGAAAAGTTTGAAGAGCAATTCTGTTCCAATTTTCATTGTTTGATGTCCGAACATATCGCCAGTCGTTAACTCGTCCCAACTTCTAGGAGCTGACCAAAAGAAGATGTTTTGTGTCGTTCATCCAAGATCGTCCTTAAAGATTATTTCAAACATATAAAGGAAGATGAAGATATCATTACCGAAGAAAGTATCTGGTGATAAGAATGCAAAATATAAACCCAAAGCAATAACTTCAACTTTTTTCATATCAGTGGAAAAACTATTGCTACGCCTGCTCCAGCTATCATCAAAAAAGCATATTAATCCATATCAATTGGCTAACAAGTGCGTTATAATTATTTTTGATACTTCTTTTGTTCTGCTTCATAATGCAGTGTTCAACTTGTAAAATTATGAGATGTCTAGCTGATGAGAATTAATGGACCATACTTCTGCCTTTGACTTTATTTCAAGACCACCATTACTAAACATGGCTGCTGTCATGAACACTGATAGATAGATAATCTAGTGATGATCTTTCAGCTTTATGGAAGAGAAGCGTATACCATGCCCGAAGAAAATGTTCAACGTCTCTACTAAATCAAGAAGTTATAATACAAAGAGTTGCTTTCCGATTTTTATTTTTCCTTTTCTGGCTAAATTACCTACCAGCTTCTACAGAAAACGATTTATTTGAACATACGGATGATCTAACTATATATAAACCGATTTCTGCCTTTTCCCATCCCTAATAAGTAAATGATTTATTGTTGCTCAGTAAACGGTGGTCCTTCGCTCATGATCTAACAATTAATAGTGAGAAAAGTCGAGCTAATAATTCTAACCCGAGACATGAACAACCCATTAGAATTCCGTAAACTTAGCCAAATCCTTCCTGGTAACCAGCTACTTCACATTTTACAGATATGGGGTTGTTAACTGGGCGGAAACAATAGATATTCCATAGTCTACAGATCCAGATCTCGATAGGAGGCCTTGGAGAACCAGGTGCCTTTAATTTATGGACGTTAGGTGTTCGGTCTGAAGGAGGGGAAGGTTTTCTAATCACGTTCTGAGACACCCCAAATACAAATATAGTAGGATTAACGAAACCGGATTAGACATAACCAGAGGAGGCTTGTTAGTTACATACATCCACTACTCACCTTTAGTCGACTAGAATAACTGTGGCCGCGGCAAGTCTCATAACATATCTTTCATTATTAATATGACTTAGTAGAATCCGAAATGAGGTTTGGACAGAAGAACAACTGTCTTGGTAGTTTAGATACTCGCTATTGCCCTGTTGAAACCAAAACAAAATGATTGGGTAAGTCAGAGTCCTATTATTCATCATAGATATAAATGTACACCATTACCTAAACGAATATTACCACGCGTTGAAGTCAAATCTCATAGTCAACACCAAATTAAGATTACCCTCTCATTGTTATCCAGCTGCCGTGGCTACTTTGATGACCATAGAAAACAAACACAATATTATTTAGCGGATGAAATGGAAAGACTGTGCAGGAGGAATGCAGCATGATTACTGTCAAATGGATCAGCTCATGACGCACGATTTATTGGTCCCCGTTAGCTAGCCTTGAGGTCGACGATGTTCGATAGACTGTCAAATGGTCAGTGACCTGTCTATAAATAGGGATGATTCAGCCTGGTGAATTTGTCTAAGGCTGAGTGACATTGGGCTGAACACAAACGGTGTTTTATAACTTTATTTATCTGTTATTATCATGTTTTGGTTCATATATATTGTTTGGGTAGTGAGCTTTTTCTTTTGACTAGTGTCACCTCTACACTTCTCTACATTCCAGTTTTGAACCATATTTAGCACGACCAACCAATCTCCCACCTGTTGCTGTGGTTCCTACTAATTTCAAAAACAGTACTGTTGTGAGACAAACAAATTTCCTTATGCTCAAGATAGATTAACCGAAAAATAACAGTTGAGTTCACCAAGATTGGTTCAATGAGATGGCTAAACTACTGTCACTCATTGTTGCACATTACTTTAAACCTAGAACCGTATCTTAACAATGGAATGTTAACTGTATAAATCGACTAGTTTGCCCTGAATTGTTTCAAAGATATTGTATATTGGATCGGTGTTTAAATGCATCCACCTCAATCAGTGACTCGTTAGGCGTCAGTATACGATTGCAGATGTTACTCGTGTTTCTGCTGTTGGTAGTTCCTGCGTTTGGATTGAAAAACATCAATGTGACTCGTACGATTCGCTTTAAAGGAAGCGTTGTTAAAATACATCATGATATTCTGCTCAGTGAAACGCCTTCTGAATACCAGTTTGCCGTAGAGGAAAGTGACTGGAAACATCTGGCTTTTATCGGCGCATCGGTAATGTACACTGTTTTCATACTCTAATACTTCAGCATGGAGACGAAAAATCACCACAGAAGATCTCTGTGAAGGCGACAGCGGGGAAGCCTTACACGTACTCTTTCGATCTTGGGAAACCATCCACCCAACAAACTCATTTGTTTGTGGATATTGTATTAACGGAATCATTAGAACCAAAACCTGCTGAGATTTACCAAGCTGATAAGCAGCTCGTCAGGTTTAAGGGCAATGCTCTCTTTCATTCTCCTTATCTGACGGACAGTCAGCAGACTTTAGTCCACTTGCCCAAAGGCCGACTTTTGACCCACACTTATGCCTCACTATCGCCTGTTGTAAATGGAAATGATTTAGTTTATGCTGCTTCTGATAGTCGTCCAGCCTTCTCAAGGGTGAGATTCTGTTTTACTGATTAATTTTTAGGATCCATTCGTCCTACATTTCGAGTACGACACCCCGTTCCTGGTAGTTACCAATATGACACGTCTCATTGAAGTATCTCACTGGGGAAATATTGCTGTTGAAGAGACGCTTGAAATAGTGAACATGGGTGCAAAGTTGCGTGGTCCGTTTTCTCGCTTGGAGTTCGACTATGGAGTCGGGCAACAAGTAGCAGCCAACTCTCTCAAATCGTCCTTGCCTCTGTCTGCAAAAGACATTTACTACCGCGATGAGATTGGCAATATTAGTACAAGTACAGTCAAGACCTCATTGGACTCCGTGGAGGTGACACTTGTTCCGCGGTTCCCGCTAATGGGTGGATGGAAAACACGCTACACAATAGGATACAACATCCCAGCCTACGAGTTCCTTTATCACAGTGGTAAGTTTGCTGCGTATTCATGTAGAAATCGTTGAAGCAAATCAGTTCAGTTGCATTTATCAGAGTTGTCAGTCTAAATCTTGTTTTCCAATGGCATTAACCTCGTCAATATAGTTATGTCTATCGTATCTGCTTTCATGTATTATTGGGTTTTTATGTTAACTCGACAATAAGTCAGTTATTCATTCCTAATTGGCTTTTGATTTTTTTGGTTACTTTTACTAGGTTCGAACTTTGCTCTTGTTATGAGGTTCATTGACCATATTTACAAGAACCAATACATCCGCGACTTGACATTGAAAATTGTTCTCCCTGAAACCGCCGGTGATATCCAGTTTGAACCCCCTTTCCCTGTTTCCGAACAGCATTTCGAAATTATGAAAACATACTTAGACACGTCAGGCCGAACCGTTATTGTCTGTAAAGCCGAAAATCTTGTTGATGAGCACATTCAAGATTTTAAGGTACGAACTTTATCTTTCATATATTGTATGTAAAAGTACTTTCAGTTTAGTAATTTTTTCGTAAGTAGTCATTTGCGCTATTGAAATGTAAGTACGTAGTTCCTGTACTGTTGTTGTCGTTTCTTTAATGCCTTGGTTGTATTGTTATTCGGGCTTGATGGTTCTAGTTTTCCTCCTAAGAGAATTCTTCATGACTGTTTTTCTGTTTAGATTTACATTACTGGGATATACTTCTCAATTCATATCTTTGAATCCTAGTGTTTTCGATTACTGCTGATACTCCAATGCCTCTGCTATAATAGGATTTAGACTAACTCTCCCACATTTGTGTTAATATGGTTTGGCAACTTTAGATGAAGTACGTACGTCTTAGCTGAGTGGCTGACATTATTTTTTAATCGTTCTTGGTGCATACTTATTCTTAGGATTTCTATAATCTTGAGTCCAAATGGACGCCAACACATCGCCACCAAAAATAGGTGAATTCTCCATAATCCTGAATGGCGATCAGATGTGGCAAACAGTGTTAGGTAATCAATATCTCGATTGGTTTTCGTAACGGGCAGTAGCAACCTGCATTTCACCCCTATTTATATTCGATTATCTGAGATTAACAGGTATCTACATAAATATATATATCAAAAGATTACTTTATGACTACTGCTCCATGGCTATTGTTGGCTCAAATTAATAGTGTACAGTGTTATACGTGAGTGTTACAACATTGAAGTCTTAACAGTTTACTTGAAATCATTCTTAAAGCATTCTAAATAAGTGTTTTATGGTTTGATTGTTGTGTATGCCTTAATTAAAGAACGGATATGCACTAAGTCTTATTTGTCTCATTCTAATTATCCAGCAGATTATAAGCACCTAATGATATATTTTTAATGCCTAGGTGAACTATCGTTTCAATCTCCCAATGATTCTCCGAGAACCTATGATGCTGATCACAGCATTTCTATGCTTATTCGGTGCTGTAATAATTTACGTACGCCTAGACTTTTCAATCTATAAGGTAATTTTCCTATGTTTTTGCACTTTTTCCCTGTTATGTGCTGGTTATACATTTATTAATTCAACAGATACAAGAAGATCAAGACTTGCTGTTTCCCCCCAGTTATTTAAAAGTAGTAAACATAGTAATACGTTTGTGTAATACTAAGAACAACTTCACAAATAAGTCAGATAAAAGCAGCAAGTCCTCTAGTGTCTTTTGAGTCTCAAAGACCCGGTATGATTCATTTGCAGATGAAGTATCGTATTCGTCGAAAAACCCAAGATTGAATCATCCTAGAGCGATCTGTAGTTTTGAGGTTTTTCATGGCATCTGTTGTTTATAAACATTTGATGTAAACAGGATAGTTTTATAATAGACACTCGTGTTAATTTTAAAAATTAAGATAAAATAGATGAAATGTAAGTAACAGTAAGATTTAAGGCGCATTTCTCTTCTGCGATTCACCTCGATGTGACTACCACTCAGCCTTAGTGTTCATCTTTGAATTCGAGCCCTGTGCTGTTTGCTACAGATATCATCTCTCTACCAACCTAGCCACTCTCATGCAGTGAGTATTTGTCTTATAACTATATATCGTCTCTACGATATACAAAATATCAACAATGTCAATCAATTAAGTCCAAGTGTGCTGCTCAACATTATGTTTTGCTAAGATATCACTAGGCTTGTCTAGTTCGTCCTTAAACCGCATAGTTGTCTTCGCTTTTACCTGCACTGAGTTCGTTTCTTATCAGTATTTAGACGTTTTGCCTAAATGTTTTTCATTGCCACTGTACTGTTTGTAACAGCCTATTGATCAAGAAAGCAGTCGGGATTTTTGTACTCAGTATACATAGTGTCTTTTGGCAGTTGAGCAGCGTTAGCAGTCTTCATTATGATTGTGTTAGCTAGAATCTTTGCCGGAATTTAAAAGCATCGTCTTCACTTTCGTGGATATTCTTCTATATACAGAAATACCATAATAACGCATTGATCCGTGTTAGAACATTTTTAATATATTTTCTTGGGTTTGTGAGTTCATTAGACTTCCCAAATCTGCAAGTTCTAAGCTTACTAACCGATATCTACACCATATGGTTCACTATTTTATTTGTTGGAACTGATTCCTTTCAGGTGTTCGCTTAGTATATTCATTAAGTTTGCCTCATTTCATAAATTCCTCACTGGCTAACTTGTGATCTTTAAGATTTCAACCTTATGAAAGCTCAGTGTGTCTTTTATCAAATATTTAATGAACTTTTTTGAGTCCAATTTTAGTCTAACAAACTTTCTCTCACTGTAGAATGAAAAAGATGAACTTCGCCTTCGAGCACAAGCGCTAGTAGATGAAGCTCAAGCCTTGCTAAGACGTCGTACTGCTTTCTATCAATCTTATGAAGATGCCCTGACAAAATATAAAGGGTCTAAAGACACCACTCAGTTCACAAATGATCGTCGTAAATTAGAAGCGGAACATAAAGGTTTGAACCAACAGTTGACATCAGTTCAGAATAAAATGGGAGATCTCTACCCTGATGGAGTTGATAAAGTGAGATTCTTGATATCAGTCCTTGTTTCTTGTTGATTTTCTAATCTTAAAGTCTAACGTTTAGCTTACTCAGACCTAACGTTCGTTATTAAATGTAACTGGATTTTAACCTTATGTCATCTCAAAACTCAGTAAATTGTCCCATTAGTCAATATACTACGAAATCAAGCCTTCTAAAAGGAGTCGAACCTAATGTAAGTGTAAGGTCAATTCACGTATAGTAAGAACCAGGGCCACTTTTACAAATCTGTGCCAACCTTAATGCCTTCGTAATGTTCGTTTGACTACGAAAGGTCGGATTTACAACGCGTTAGTGAAAGCAGTTTTGCTTTAGGCTTATGAAACCTGGACTCTCCAAATGTATGATGTTAAGTGACGTTCTGTGTCCGATCATAGTTGTCTCCATAGTATCACTAACATTTAGTGGTAACACCATGTTAGCAATGTTGATTTTTAGTAGCATTCGAGAACAATGACGGCAATCAAAGCACTATGCAAAGCCAATTTCTGGTACCTTCCACATCCAGTCCTTCACCTTGCTTAACCTTGGAAAGTTAGAACTGTGTTCGACTGTGTCGCTAAGTATAGAAAAAAAATTACCAAACGGTATAATACTTTCCAACCTTAGTTTAACTAATTCCTTGCCGGGCGTATTTTTGTGGTTCATACACGAGAGAGTGGCTGTTATTATCAACATTGAAACCATGTTTCACCAAGTCCATATACCATAAAATGACATGCTCTGCGTGTGGCGAAAGGGAGAATTCTTTCACGATGGTGTAGACTATCGAATGGCGATTCGCTTATTCGTTATCACATCTTCACCAATCAAGACGCTCAGTGTCCTCTAAGTCTCGAATTACTAGCAGTATCCTTTTCAGTGAAAATTTGGAAGTTAATGTGCTTAGAGATCTTTTTCTGTATCTAAGACGACCATTTAAAACAATTCACTGGTTGTGGTCGAAAGCATAAATAATTACTTAGCGCATATTCGTGAACATTCAAATCCATTTGGTTGGTGTCAAGTTGATTCTAAGTCTAATCTAGCAAATGTGCGTTTACGAGGCTTTGTGACAAGTAAAAGCAGCGAAAGATAGAGCGATGGTTTGGTGGTCCAACCTGCTTAGTACAAGAGGAAACTCAGTAGCTTCAACGCTAATCACAAAACATTTACCTTGGTCCCTATTATACATATTAGAAGTAAAGATCCATGTCTTGAAACAAATAGAGCTTCATTGCTGTACCGTTTTGAGGAAATAAGGTAGTTATCGAGACTGCAGAGATTAGTAGATTGGCTTACACGATACTGGGATTTCCTGATAAATAAGTACATTCATAAGTAATGTCTCGCAGTCAGGACAGTGAGACCTAACATCGTCCAAGTGTTCTGATAGAGATAGTTATAGTTAATTCAAGTACAACTGCTGAGAAAGCAACGAACCAATGCATAGATAAGATGCTGTATATTAGCCTGCCAGTCATACGCTATTTAAGACCGGTCGTCTACGCAATTGGCGGCGGGATCCAACTAAGTTTTTTCATTATCCTATTTGACTCGTAACGACGCTGCTATGGCATTATTTCTAGTGTTCTTTTAGGAGGATAAAAACTTCTATCTTCTCCCTATATCAGCGCTGTATCTTCAAATACTGTGGTTTTGCTTTCCTTTCCTATCTGCTGTTTTCTAAAATAAATTAACAAATATTCACCAGAAGTGTTAAATCAATCATCATTGTTAGTGAATTAATTACATGTTACATTTGAATTGTAGGTTATAAATTCAATTATTACTGTGATTTTTTTTAATTTTCAGTTAAATGATATCAGCAGTCTTGATCAACAATATCGTGACCTATTTCAAGAAGGTATCCAACTAGCAGAAAAACTGCTCACGGGCAAGTTGACAAAAGCACAATATCAATCAGCAAACGATGATTTATGCTCTAAGAAAACTGATGTGATTTACAAAATAGATTCAATATCGGAATGTCTCTAGTGTATGTGATAACTAATACGATTCCTATGTGAATAATTCTTTGTGTGTGTGGACCTTATTTTTAGTTCTCTTTGTGTGCAATTATGTTGTGTTATGTTGTTATGTTAATTTTTTTTTCCACTGATAGTGCTTTTTTTTCTAAAAAAAAATAAAAGATAATGGAAAATTTTTGTTGTTGTTTAATTTCATAGAGACACCATTTTATCCAAGCTGATTGCATGTGTGCTTAATGCACTGCAATGCATATAGTTCGTATTATTGCAAACAACCTGACAGTTACAATTTTTTTTTTTATTATTTACAACTGGGATCCTTAACTTTAGGTTTTAACAACTTCTGGCTTGACGTCTGGTCTGTTACTTTATGTTATCAATACATCTTTTCATATTAATATCTGGTCGCCTAGTACTAATAATAATAATAATGCATTCGAAAAGCGATGCCTCGCAGAAATGAGTTTAATAATTTCAAACTCTTCCAGTCCACCTATCGAAGTCCCCATACTCTCAGATCGTCATCGATCAAATTTACTTTTATGCAGTTATCTCCGTCTAATGTCATACACTTGAGTTGAATCCAAGGTTGTTTGTAGTCAATAGAACACGGCAAATGTTTACATCGATCATATTTGCCACTTCAGTGATCTTGAATTGCCAAAGCATATTCCGTTGTAGTTGTCAGTTAGTCAGTTACAACGTAGAACTTCGTACGTAAGTACATCAGTTCAGGTTGCCATACCACGTTAGCACAGAGACGCAACTGTCACTTCAAATCCTATAGTGGTAGAGATAGTAGAATTACTGCTAATGGAGAAGATTAGGATTCGAAGATAATATTCGAGAAGTGTAATTCAGTGAGATAAGTGTAGAAAGACAGGTAGAGGTGTTGACGAATCGAGAAGATTAGGATTTGAGAGACGAAAAATAGTGGATGCACATGCGCCATTGCGAATGGTTTCGAGCCATATCGTTCAAGTTTTCTAACCATTGGTGACTTTCGTCTCGCGTACCCCAACCAGGTAGTCTGCACTTACTAACATAACTCAATCCACTTGTCAATGACGTCATGGATTTCTGCCATGTTTTGGTCTTGTCGCCCCTACCGTTCTTCCAACCTACTGCACCACAAAGTATAGCTCGACGAAGCAGTCGGTGGTTAGGCATACGCAACACATGTCCCAACCACCTCAACTGATGAAGTTTCACTACTTCATCTATTGACCTACCTAGTACTCGTTTCCTAACGATAGCATTGCTCACTCGGGTGTCCCAGGATACACGAGAAATGTTTCGGAGGCACCTGTGATAGAAAACCAGCAACATACGAATATCTTCTACTCTGACTGGCCATGTTTCACAGCCATAAAGTAGGACGGAACGAAATACTGCGCAATACACTGGACCACCACGTCAAGGTAGTAGCTACGGTCGTGGTAGTAGTAGTAGTGTTAGATATAGTGATAAAAGAAAAACAGCACATTAAAAATGCGGTCATAATCAGTGGCATACAGAGATGGAAGCGAAGATTAACTTGCACTATTGCGAACGATTCTGGATCATATCAAGTGAGAACTGATCAATTTTTATGATGATCGTTCAGGTCCCCATCAGATGGTCTACATTTATCTGCTTGATTCAGTCCAATAGTCTCGGTCTGGCCTCAGCTGGCTTCTTTCCTATCTCCTCTACCGTCATGCCTCCAGGGAGAGGTGATGCTGGAGGTGGTCAAACCAACCCGTCATGGACTGATAAGATTTCTGAGACGAATGAGATTACTGGCGCACCTAACTAATTCGTTGGTGTAGAACAGTCCCATAGCAACATTTCACATTTGAATGCGGAAAATTCCTTTTCAAATCTGTTAACATTGTTGTTCAAGTCTGTCAAAAGACTACGTGTTGTCGATGTATTCAGCAAATAACTATCTCATCTATGTATTCGGAATCAACGAGCTAGACGATCAGAGCATCATTCATAAAATCATTTGTCGTGAAGTTAAGTGGCTATAAAGAATATAGACAGGTTTGACGGACATTATTAATTTGGACGACAGTTCATTACAAACTCTGGTGTAACCAGTGTTCGAGTAGAGTCATTGCAGGATTTGTGTACGTCTTTCTATCGTTTCCTTTCAATGGTTGTATTTACTGTATGAACACTAATGGCATACTTAGTTTCTTTCTAAAATTATTGTAAAAAATCCCCATACTCAATAATTCCTACCCTTAATGCCTTACTTGGATATGATCGTATTTTTCTAATTATTTATTCATTGTAGTCTTACTGAGTGTCGATTTATTCATGTGCCTTTTTTCGTTTATCCAATCAAGAGTAGATTGAGTAGCGTTCCAGTCTATTGGTCTTCTATCTTTCGCTTGCTAGCCTATCCAGTGATAGGATAGTTTTGTTTCTTCTCTTCAACGACGTTTAGCCACAGCTGGATTCACTACTAGTCTCAAGGTTAATTAAATGATCTGTCGCATCAAGACCTTTAAACTAGATGGCGACAAAATTATCTGTGTATCAGCAGGTAGACGGTTCAAGAGTGTAACAAATACACCTATTCAAGAACAGTGTCCAGGCTATTTGTTACAACTTTCGGATTCATGACAGTTTCCCAGTGTAAATACGGTGTTGTTTAAGAGAACTGACAAATCTAACACAACTAACTATTCAAGGTAAAAGAAGGATTTGATTTCGAACAATTTAGTCTCTCGTGTGCTGTTACGGGTATGAAGGCGGTTGTCACTTCACGGCTGCCCACAACGTGGAAGGTTGTTTCTTGAGGGACCTGAAAAGGAAGATAGATTAGTGTTGATCTTAGATACCTGGGTGCGTGACCGCAAAGCCCAAGGGACAACTGCTTGAGGTCGGTGATGAAAGGTTTTTTCAGTATTAGCTCCGCTCTTAAAAGCCCTTAGTGGGCGACCATACCGCCGGAGACGGAAATCCGTGAGGTAGGGTGAGGTGTGAAATTTTTAGGGTCAAACTTTTCTAACCCTTCCTTTTTTGTGAGAAGGCAGCATTGCTGCAGATGCTGATTGTCCGAGGGAAACACCTTACTGCTGTCACACCCCTCTAAAGTCAGTCAGCAGTACGACTTCGCCCTCAGACTTTGAGTAGCTGCTTTTAGTCTCATCGTTCTCCAATCGACCTGCCTTACATGGTAGAACCTTCAGGGAACATAAGTTCCAGCCAATATAGCTCCGTTAGGTCATTACAATAGACAAGCCCGACCACCACGACAAGGTAGCTAGCAGCTTCGGTCGGGAACTATTCAAAGTAATTCAGACAGATGATTCATACATTATTATTACGTGTATTTCGTCGGTAATAAAAGCCAAGTGATTTCGGACTGGTTATATCAACTCTACACAATCATTACACAAACGAAATAGCTTAAATCATTGTGAGCTTAGTAAAAAATCAATTCCCTCTGTGAACATACAAGTCATCTCTCACAGAATGTATATTCTCTAAAGCAATGTGAATAGTGTTACTTTATATACAATAGTAATAATAATAATAATAATAATAATATAAGGATTTGTACAATACTGTGTAAAAAAAAAGTACTTCTGTAGCGAATAGTGAGTGAGAAAATTCAAAAGTTAGAAGAATGAAGAGAGAGCTGATAAAGAGGTGAAGGAATTTATTTTAGTATTTACAAGAACAATCTAGTGATCTTTTAGTGTCCAAAAGAATAAGCAGTCAGTCAGTCAATCAGTTGCAACGTAGAACTTCGTACGTAAGTTCATCATCAGTTCATGTTGCCATATCACATTATTAGCACAGAGATGTAATTGTCAATTCAAATCCAATAGTAGAAGAGGTAGTAAAGGTATTAGAAGTAATCGGAGAGGTTAGGATTAGAAGATATTATTGAGGAAGTATGATTCAATGAGATAAGTTGAGAAAGACAAAACTAGAGCTGTTGAAGAACCCAGAAGATTAGGATTTGAGCGAACACAAAGAATAAGCAAACACACACACACAAAACAGGGTATACAATACATGTTTTTAAAAAAAAATCGTCAACTTTGTTTTTCCTGAGATGGATTAATAGTAGACGAACAATCAGTTGGTTCTTCTAAGTCAACCACAGGAAAATGTCCATCTTCATTTAATAATAATGGTGGTCGATGTCCAAATGAATAACGAGCTGAAGGATATGTGGAGAAATAATGTTGTGGTTGTGGCTGTTGTGTTTGTTTCCATTGATCATTTAAACTTTTATGCTTATTACTGGTGGCTATGCAAATGAAGGAATGAACAACATGTGAAAGTTAGTATTTATGATATTGAGATAATTATTAGTCACTTAGTGAATATAATATATACATAACTGTTGTGGTGCGAGCTACTTATAAGTAGTATATGACATGAGTGTCAACGTAATGTCTGACAGCAGAAGATGGGGGGGGGAAGATCAAGAAAGGAAGAGTTAGAAGAACACAATGGAATTTGTGTATGAAACGCATGAATAGTGAGTGACAATGGATTGATGTTTTGCAACAGGAACAGTCCAGTTCGATATGATGATGAACTGATATTTTGCAAATTAACGATTTACGATATGGTTTTCCGATTTTACACTGAGTAACTCTGTAATTTTCGTTAAATACAATTCGGTTGCCCCACCTGTGTTCTCGTAAACTACACTATGATTGAATTAAGAGGAGAATTTGAATATTATATAGAATCAATAGTCAGCTACAACTTTGAACTCCTTACTTATGTTTACCCCTGAGATTTTTAAGGATGGTAGTACAGTTTTAACAGTTAGATTAATTGAGATCTTAGGTAGAATTTGGGAACTGGGTGTAATCCCATCTGACTGGTTTCAATCACTGATTGTCTCAATTTATAAGAAAGGACAAAAGTCCTCTGCTGACAATCACAGAGGAATACTTTTAACTAATTTAACATCGAAAATATTGGCCTCAATAATACACCGACGCTTGACGAAAGCTCGTGAAGAGCAGACTAGAGAAAATCATGCTGGTTTTCGACCTGGACATGGATGTATAGACCAGATATTCACACTATAGACACACGTTCAGACGCCCCACAATTGTAGTATTTCTCGACCTTAAGGCGGCATTTGACTCTGTCGATCGTGAGGTTCTGTGGCAGTGTCTGTTATTGAAGGATGTACCAGAGAAGTACGTAAACTTATACAAGCTCTCTACTCGAAAACCACTGGTCGAGTGAGAGCTTATGGCGAACTGTCACCGGAATTCTTCACTTCAAATGGTTTCCACTTTCTCGATTCTTGTTTATCTTTGTCGTACATATGCTTTTGGAGTTAACATTATCAATGACTGACCTTTCAGGAGTGGACCTTCTACCAGGAGACACGCTTGCCGACTTAGAGTAAGTTGATGACATAGCCTTATTCAAGGAAGACGCTGACAAAATGTGATCTTCTGACTACCCTTAGCAACAATGCAATCAATCAATAGCAACGTAGAACCTCGTACGTATGCACATTAGTTCAAGTTGCCATAGCACACTAGCACAGGGATGTAATTGTCAATTCAAATCCCATAGTGGCAGAGATAGTAGAAGTATTAACGGTAATGAAGAAGATTAGGGTTCGAAGATATTATTCAAGAAGTATAATTCAGTGAAATAAAACTAAAAAGGAAAAAGGGTAGTGAGGAATCCAGAGGATTAGGATTTGAGAGAACACAAAGAATGAATTCACCTGCCCCATTGCAAACGATTTTGAGCCATGTCATTCAGGGTCTCTAATCATCTGTTACTGTCGTCTCGCGGACCCCAATCACGTAGTCGACATCTGCCAACATGACTCAGTCCACTTGTCAGTGACTTCATGCATTTCTGCCATGTTTTTGTCTGACCTCCCCTAGCTTCCGTCCAACCGATTCCCACACCGCAAAATATAGCTCGACGAGGCAGTCGGTGGTTAGGCATACATAACACATGTCCCAACCACCTCAACTGATGAAGTTTCAATACTTCATCTATTGAGCTGCTATCCTTAACTAGCACCCGTTTCCTAATAACAGAATTACTTACTCAGTTGTCCCATGATACACAAGCAATGCTTCGGAGACACCTATGTTCGAAAACCAGTAACTTACGAATATAGACTACTCTGACTGGCCATGTTTCGTATCCATATAGGAGAATGGAGCGAACTCGTCCTTTAATCAGCAAACATATATCTCACCTACGCCATAAGTGACACAGGTGTTAGCAAAAGTCAATCAACCTTTCTGTATCCATCGTACTGAGATTTCGTCAATCAATCACCAGGTCATCAACACTGATGATCATCGTAAAAACTACAAAATTAATTGATCCCAATCCAAAAAAAAAAGAAATGAGAATTACTATTCAACTGATTTAAGTTTTCATTACTTACTTGAATAATTATCAGCTCTAGTTGGACTAATATTTTCAGTTTGAATATGATTTATAATTCTATTATTTGGATTAATTACTGGCCAAAGAATAGGTCTTCTTGATCGATTGAAATTTCTTCTTCTATTATTGTACCATTCATTATGATCGGCATCAACATCACCGTCATCATCGTCATCATCATCAAAATTAGTTTTATTTTCATATTTTGGTGGTGGTGTTGTTGGTGATGTTGGTGTTGGTGTTGTTGTGGTAAATGATCTACGATTATATAATGCATTTCCACTAAATGTATGATAATATCGATATGGACGTTTATATAAATAATTTTGATTTGTAAACATTCTAGGCATTGTATTTGATTGTTGTTGCTGATGATGCTGATGATGAGTGTTTGTTCCAATGGAATTCGGATGAATCTCTTCAACATAGTCATTATTATTGTGAGTAGTATTAGTAGTAGTAGTGGTAGTAGTTGTTGTTGTTGTTGTAGGTTGTACACCACGAATAATTTGACTACTAAGACTTAAAATTCGTGCTAAATTTGAAATTAAATGTACTGGTGTTTCAGGTATTTGAATTAAATTTGAATTCAATTCGGTTGAACGAATGGAAGTTGTATGACTTATTGATGTAGGACGGTGTTGGTGTTCCATTGGCGGACTATTCAAATCAGGCTGATGCATTAATTTGTTTAAATTCATATCTGATGATGGACATGTGGATAAATGATGATGACTCATTGTTGGCACAATTGAAAATCGATTTCTCATCATAAATGAATAGGATGGAACACGTAGGAAATATGGTTCTAACGGTAAATGTTTACCACGTCCTAAATGTTTTGCTAATAAATTACCAATTGTATCCATATTTGGATAAAATGTATTTTTAATTGTTATCATAAGTAATCTATTGTAGAAAAAATAACAAAATATATATTAAAAAATAATGATCGTATCTTTTTTGAAATGATGAATCAATCAATGTTAGACCACCATTAGAAACCCGGAAGCACTGGAAGACGGCCGTTTCATCCTGATATGGGACTCATCAGTGGCAGTGCGCATCCACGACTCCTGCATCCCGAAGGATTTGAACCCAGAACCTTCGGTATTGTGCGCGAACGCCTAACCATCATCGGACCACTGAGCCGGTTGCATCTAACGGTGTTAATGTCTAACTTGATCAATTCACAGAGTTACGCAACCTGTGCTCACTAGTGACTAGCTTCGTGAGGAATCTTCTCCGAGTTCTAGTGGGAAGATGTGACCAGTGAAGTTCAACCTGTTCGGGTGTAGACAGTAACTACCGAAGACTGTGTATGAGGTTGCACAACTCCGTGAATTTGATCAAGTTAGACATTAACACCGTTAGATAACGGCTCAGTGGTCCGATGGTTAGGCGTTCGTGCATAATACCGAAGGTCCTGGGTTCGAATCCTACGGGGTTCAGCAGTCGTGGATGTACACTGCTGAGGAGTCTCATACCAGGACGAAACAACCGTCCAGTGCTTCCACGTTTCTCTAATGGTGGTCTAACATTGGTCGATTTATGGTTTCAGAAATGTGTAACTTAACAATCTTCACAACCCCGTAATGCAAATGATCAGATCATAGAATTTGTCTACTTGGAAAAGTTTATATACTTAAGAGAAGAAAAATAATAATTAAAAGAAACATAAAACCTTTATTTTCTAAAATTACAATTGAAATATAATAAATAATTCAATGTTTAAGAAACGCGAAAGGACTTAACACTTAATGCTACCATCACTCATTGATGAAACTGCCTAATTCCGCCGCCAAGAGCCTTTCTGTGGTTAGGGCATCATGTCCCAAGCCCGGATAAAGGAGGAGAGTTAGGCATGGGATTATCGACCCAATCCCGTAAAAAATCAACTTGCTATAAAATACCCCAACCATAAAAAATAAGTAAATAAGTAAGTAAGCAAGCCTAGTTCCTTTGCTACTCTATGTGTATTGACCATTTCAATTGCTCTATAAATGTCGCATACAGCTAAAAGAACTTACAATATCGAACTTTTGGAGTGCCAGTCTACATGACTGATCAAAGAATAAAATCAAATGATAAACAGTTGTATTTAGGCGACATCATATCACTACGTTGACCACAATACTTTCACTGTCAAAATAATCTTTAAAAAAATCCTGTTAAACTTGTGCAAATTCTTCTAAAATCAGTTGTTTTTTTTATGTCAAATACTTTTGAAGTAGTCCTAGGAATATATATATGTCAATAAATCTTATCTTGGTGTACAGAAAAAAAGTTCATACAATCTCGCCATTTAATAACATTGACACTGACTACGACTTATTTCATATTGATTTTTAAAAATCTATACATTAATGTACAACATAGAGAAGGAAAAGGTCTGAAAAGAAATATTTCTTCGGTCAATTTGTATTTCCTTTTTAAATGTCTAAATAAGCATACAGTTTAAAAATCACGAACTGATCTTAGTTAGACCACCACTACTGGAAGCACTAGATGACGGTTTTGTCTTGCAATGGAACATTGTAAGACCCTATAGGCGGAGAATCAAATCCAAGACTTTTTGGTTACGCATGTGAACGTTTTTAATTAATCTCTATAGACCACAACTAAATCGGGATCCAACAGTGTTGTTGTCAAACTTAAGCCAATTCAAAATGTTACTCAACTCTCAACCATTGTCAGCGATGCATAAATGTCTACATAAATCGACTATACTATAAATAAATATGTATCAAAAGATATAGCAAATGTGATTATTTTAATAGTCACATTGACCTTATCAGAAATCAGTCAGTTGCAACGTAGAACTTCGTACGTATGTACATAAGTTCATGTTGCCATACTACATTAACACAGAGACGCAAATGTCAAATCAAATCCCATAGTGATAAAGATAGTAGAGGTATTAATGATAATAAAAAAGATTAGGGTTTAAGATATTATTCAAGAAGTATAATTCAGTGAGATAAGTTGAGAAAGACAAAGGTAGAAGTGTTGACGAATCCAAAAGATTAGGATTTGAGAGAGCACAATGAATGGATGCACTTGCCGCATTGCAAACGATTTTGAGCCAAGTCATTCAAGGTCTCTAACCATCGGTGACTTTCGTCTCACGGACCACAACCAGGTAGTCTACACCCACCTACCAATATGACTCAGTCCACTTGTCAATGACTTCATGGATTTCTGCCATGTTTTGGTCTGGCCGCCCCTAGCTTTCTTCCAACCTACTCCTACACCACAAAACATAGCTCGTCGAGGCAGTCGGTGGTTAGGCATACGTAACACATGTCCCAGCCACCTCAACTGATGAAGTTTCACCACTTCATCTATTGATCTGCCATCCTTACCTAGTACTCGTTTCCTAACGACAGCATTGCTTACTCGGCTGTCCCACGATATACGAGCAATGCTTCTTAAACATCTATGATCGAATACTAGTAACCTACGAACATCTTCTACTCTTAACGGCCATGTTTCACAGCCATATAGGAGAAAAAAAAAAAAAAAAAAAAAAAAAAAAAAAAAAAAAAAAAAAAAAAAAAAAAAAAAAAAAAAAAAAAAAAAAAAAAAAAAAAAAAAAAAAAAAAAAAAAAAAAAAAAAAAAACTGAGATTTCGTCAGTCACCAGACCGTCAGCACTGATGAGACTCCCCAGATAAGTGAAGTGATCAACATGCTCGACTACTTCACTCCCTATCACTAGTTCAGGTGCCAATGCAACCCAGTCTTGAAGTAACATTTTGCATTTCGAGGGGGAAAACCGCATCCCGAACATGCTCGCATTGTTGCTTATGGTAGTCAGAAGACTCTGCATTTTGTCAGCGTCTTCACCGAATAGAACTATGTCATCGGCATATTCTAGATCAGTAAGCGATTTTCCTGGTAGAAGGTCAACCCCTGAAAAATCTGACGAGCTTAATGTTAACTCTAAGAGGATGTCTACGACAAAGTTGAACAAGAATGGAGAGAGTGGACAGCCCTGACGGACACCACTTGATGTAGAGAATTCAGATGACAGTTCGCCATATGCTCTCACCCGACCAGTGGTGTTCGAGTAGAGTGCTTGTATAAGGTTAATGTACTTCTTTGGTACACCTTTCAATGACAGACACTGCCACAGAACCTCACGATCCACTGAGTCGAATGCCGCCTTAAGGTCCAGGAACAGGACTATTGTCGGACGTCTAAATGTGTGTCTGTGTTCCAGGACCTGTCGTAGTGTGAAGATGTGGTCTATACAACCACGTCCAGGTCGAAAACCAGCCTGGTTTTCTCGAGTCTGCTCTTCGCGAGCTCTAGTTAGACGTCTAAGTATAATCGAGGCTAACAATTTAGAAACTATATTAGTTAAACTTATTCCCCTGTGATTGTCATAAGAGGACTTCTGTCCTTTCTTGTAGATTGGGACAATTAGCGACTGAGACCAGTCAGATGGGATTACGTCCATTTCCCAGATTCTACCTAGGATCTCGGTCAGTCTAACCGTTAAAACTGGACCACCATCCTTAAACATCTCAGCGGTAAGCCTATCGGGACCTGCCGCTCTACCTCTCCTTAGATTTCCTATAGCTTTCTCAACTTCATGTAAACTGGGAGGACTTAAATCGATTTGCCATTCAGGATGACTGGAGATCGTGGGTAACCGAAGAGTGGCTGAAGGCCAGTTGAACTGATCCCTAAAGTGTTCTGCCCATCGGTCCAGCCTCCTAGATTGAGAATGGATAATAAGACCATCCTTTTCCGAGATAGTCTCACTTACATTCGGGTTCCTAATACCGGTTTCTTTGATAAGTCGGAAAAGTTGTCTAGTGTTGCCTATCGCCGCTGCCTTTTCCATCGCTTTTGCTTTCGCCACCCACCACTGTTCACGGTCGTTACGTAGGCTTTTTATAAGTCTGCGCCTAAGTTGAGTACGCTCTTCATCATGTTCAGAGTCAGGTGGGATGCGTTTTCGTGCATCCATCAGTTCGGTGGATGCGACTGAAATCCACGGCTTCATCCTAGCCTTATGGTTTACCTTGCTAGCAGATATCACTGCTGTTTCCACAGCCTTCTTTATATCATTCCAACCTGACTCCGGATGGGAATCACTTGCATGGCCGCCTAACTGTTTTTCTAGTTCCTCCTGAAGTATTTTCTTAGCTTGATTATCACCAAGTAAAGCCCTAAGAGGCTTTCTTACGGTGTCTTTCCTACGTCCAGCAAGCCTCAAACAAATACGTGCTCGCACTGGGACATGATCTGAATCTAAACATGTGCCCCAGAATGAGCGGCAGTCCTCTATCGAGCCCCTCCATCGGTGGCTGATGGCGATATGATCTAGTTGTGTCCAACGTTGAGACGACTTCGGGGGTCGCCAGGTCAAAAGGTGTTTTTCCTTATGCTTAAAATTAGTGTTTGCTAGAAATAGGCGGTTATCTGAGCACAGTTGCAACAGACGGTCGCCATTGTCTGTTCTTTGAGCCGCGAGACCATAACATCCACCTAGGTGTCTTTCATTTTCACTTAGTCTACCTACATGAGCATTGAAGTCACCAGCCATTATAACTATATCAGAGCGCTTAACTTTTTGGAGGAGGTCCGAAAGCTTTCTGTAAAATTCATCTTTTACATCATCTGGGCTGCAGTCAGTGGGGGCGTAGGCTGATATGACGAAGAGGCAACGGCGAGTGTCCCTATCTTTCCGAGTCCTTACTGTCCCGTTCAGTCGGACGGCGCACAAACGACTATCTACAGGGATCCAGTCAAGGAGAGATTGTTCTGCCCTACGACTCAATGCTATACCTACACCGGCGAGGCCCCTAGAAGCAGCATCAGGGCTACCGGATACACGAAGGGTAAATCGAGCTGCTTCTTTATCTTGACATGGTGAGGTCAAATGAGTGATGCTACTCGGATCCTGTATGCGCGTTTCCGAGACGCAGCACACATCGATGGAACGAGATTCTAAAGTCCTAGCTAATGATGCCTGTTGCCCTATTTGACACAATGTCCGTACATTGAATGCTCCAACATGTAGTTTGGAACGGGGTTTAAGGAGACCAGGAACGACGTTTCGCAAACTCGCATCATTTGCATTAGCTGTGCACTGTAATAAATGAATGTAAGAAGAGTTAGTTGTGGAGATAAGAGAGGTATTAGGGAATGTAGGAAGGATTTGATTTTGAACAATTTTGTCTCGTGTGCTGTTGCGGGTATGAGGGCGGTTATCACTTCCCGGCTGCCCACACCGTGGAAGGTTGTTTCTTGACGAACCTGAAAAGGAAGATGGATTAGTGTTGGTGCGTGACCGCAGAGTCCAAGGGACAACTGCTTGAGGCCGGTCACGCACGGCCTTTTTGATGAAAGGTTTTTGAGGAAAAGCTCCGTTCTTAAAGGCCCATAGTGGTAACCCTGACACAAGAAAACGGAAATCCGTGAGTTAGGGGAGGTGTGACATTTTTAGGGCCGACCTTTTCTAACCCTTCCTTGTGGGGAGGTAGCATCGCTGCAGATGCTGGTTGTCCGAGGGGATCATATAGCTGCTGTCACACCTCTCTGCAGTCGACAGTACGACTTCGCCCTCAGACCTTGAGTAGCTGCTTTTAGTCTGATCGTTCTCCAATCGACCTGTCTGGCTGGCATGGTAGAACCTTCAGGAACATATGTTCCAGCCAATATAGCTCGGTTGGGTCATCACGATAGGCAAGCCCGACCGCCATGTCAAGGTAGCAGCTACGGTTGGGATACTTTTCAGTTCTTCTTCACTTTTACATAACTCCGCCTGGAGCTCTTCCAGAGTTACTGTCGATCTCAAGCCAGGATAAAGGAGGAGGGTTGGACATGGGGCTTAACTAACCTACCTCCTCGTAGAACTCCAACTCGCTAAGAAAAAATCGCTAACCAGAATAGTAATTCACTGGTCGGTAGCCTATGCTTCATTAGGGGTACACAGGCGTGACTAACTAATCAAATTTTACATGGTTGCGCAACCTTGTTTTAACTGGATATAACTCTATATCCAGTCAATCAGTCAGTCAGTCAGTGACAACGTAGAACTTGGTACACATGTACATCAGTTCAAGATGGTATATCACATTAGCACACAGAGATGGATTTGTAGTAGAAGCAGTATAGTAATGGAGGTAAAGGAGAAGATGAGGGATCAAAGATATAATCCGAGAAGTATAATTCAGTGAAATAAATTGTAAAAAGAGGCGAAAAGCTTATGAGGAATTCAGAAGATTCAAATTTGAAAGAAGACAAACAATGAATGAGTCTGGCCCAGTACAAACGATTTTCAGCCATGTCATTCAAAATCTCTAACCACCGGCTACGATTGTCTTGTTGACCATAACCAAGTAGTCACTATAAGTAGGTTGATTATGATTTTGGACAGCATAACCGGGCACCTACTTCACAAGTAGAAGTGAGTTGATCATCATATTCCGTAAAATAATGAGTGACAGTGGTCTAGAATCGACCACTCTTTGCTTTCCCTTAAGATCTATATTTTTAAAATTATCGATTGTTTCTAATTTTAGTAAATTCAACTAACTGTCGTTATAAAGATTGCAGAGATTATTGAGTTTCATTTTGAAATCATCAACTAACTGATCGAATGTTAGACCGGTATTGGAAACCTGGAAGCACTCACTAGATGACCGCTTTGTCCTATTGCGGAACTTATCCAACAGCCATCTAGTGCTTCCAAGTTTCGATTGTTGACCTAACAGTGATCAGTTGATGAATTCAAAATACAACTCATTTATCTGTGATAATGTAATATGCCAACTTGAACATAAATACATAGGTATCAATGTTATGCTCGTCACTTGTTATGCTTGAAACTATTACGGGTGTTCACCTTAGTCGATAAACAAGAACAAGACAATGAACCAATGTCCGAGTAGACTACCCTGATCCGTTGACCCATAGGAATTGACGAAAAAGTCTTGATACAGTGTAGAAAGTGTATTCTACAAACACCCAACAAGCACACAAATCGCATGTACTTATTATATCATAGTTACATCCTTGGGAGGACTCACAACGATAGCACACCCAGAATAACACAGTAAGTAACCAATCACAGCCATGGATTTTCCTGGTGGGAAATGTGATCTCAAGGTCAATCGGTCAGCCACCCATGAATAAAATCCAAAATTAATACATTTATCAAACGAGTTCTAGGAGATCTAACGTCATCATTTCTGTAAGATAATTGTGTTGCATCATTTCACTGGATCATTCTTATAATGTATTTTATGTATGCAAAATGAAATGTATTCAATCCGTTTATTTAACATATGACTTTTTTCATTATTGAGTTCAACCCTGTTAGATGCGAGTCAGTTAGTTAGTTACCTACTAAAGACAGCAAGTGAGGTTGCGCAATATCAGGGATTGATTATCAAGTTAGACATTAACACCCGTTGGATATCTCGACCCAGTGGTCTAGAGGTTAAGCTTTGTCATGTTTGATCGAAGGTCCTGGGTTCAAGTCCCACGTTTGGGAGGGGTTGTGAATGTACACTGCTCGTGAGTTTCATACTAGAATAGTGAAAAAAAACGGTTCAGTGCTTCCAGGTTTCTTCTAATGGTGGTCTAACAATGATCAATTCATGATTTCAATGATTTTCTCAATGACATTACTTCAGTTCTACTGAATTGTATTTAAATCTTCATTTCAAAGTCTGTTCATCCTAATCAAAAAAACTATATATCTTCGCATAATATCTTATTTTCAGTTATTCTTATATATTGATGTAGCGTGGATACAGAAGGAGCCAATTCCGGCTTAGGCGAGATATCCGCCTAGCAACTAAAGAACCGGTTTACTGCGTAGCAGTTCGCTCTGAAGGTGTGAAACATGACCAGTAAGAGTAGAAGATGTTTGTAGGTTACTAGTATTCGATCATAGGTGTCATCGAAGCATTTTTCGTATATCCTGGAACAACCGAGTGACCAACATTAGTGTTAGGAAAATGATACTAGGTAAGGATGGCAGATCAATAGTTGAAGTGGTGAATCTTAATCATTTGAAGTAGTTGGGATATGTATTACGAATGCCCAACCACTGACTGCCTCGACAAGCGATGTTTTATGATGCACGAATAGGCTGGAAGGAAGCTAGGAGCGGCTAGATCAAAACATGAAAAGACTTCATGAAGTCGTTGACAACTGAACTAAGCTATGTTAGTAAGTGTAGACTACCAAGCTATCATTCGGCAGACAATCATAACCGATGATTAGAGACTTTGAATGACATAGCTCAAAAACGTTTACAATGGCGCAGGTGCATCTACTCTTCGTGTTTTCACAAATCATAATCTGAATTCCTCATAACCTTTGTCTTTCTACTTCGTGAATAATATCCTCGAACGGTAATCTTTCCGATTACTGCTAATACTTCTATTATGCCTACTACAACAATTGTGTCTCTGTGCTAATGTGGTATGGCAACTTGAACTGATGTACATACGTTACGAAGTTCTACGTTGTAGATGACTGAGTATATATATATATATATATACATATATATATACATATACATATACACAGAATCCCCAGCGATCGGAACGACTTTTAGCCGCAGCGATGTTGCCACCACCACGTTGCCTGACGGGACCACGAAGAGGTAGTCGCCACCACAACCCTCCCAAAGGCAGCACATTGCTTAACCCGAGGCAAGCTCAGGCATTCTGCAATCCGCCCCTCATATGACGAGGCATTTGGCTACCTTAAGAAAGTCATAGTTATTCGCTTCTCGGCTCTCTGAGCTAAGATCATGTATATATATATATATATATATACATATATATATATATATATATATATATATATATATATATATATAAACGCCCAAAAATATAACTATATATATTTACACATAAAAATATGATTGTTTTTTCCCAAAAATTACAATAAAAATCAATCAATGAATAAATGACTTCTCACCTGGGCAATAATGCTAAAATAATAGTGACCAATGTTAATAACCAAAATTTAGTATTATTCATCATTTGAAAAATAATTCGATATGGACATTCGGGTGGAACAGCAGTAATAGCAAGTGCATGATAAATCATTGTAAATATTACATAAGATACAATATAACTAGCTATAAAACTAACTAGATGTAATATTACCTAAATAGGGAAAGAAAAGAAATAAAAGAGGGGAAAAAGCAAGTAAAGATATGGACATATTGAGATTAAAATACAATACAAGTTGTTTCCCTACAGTTCGGTATACTAATAGCCCGCCTTGCCGCCCTCGCCGATTGGGGATTGTGGGTAGTGGATTGGTTGGAGGGATTTCTTGATTGATAAGTGCCCGGGCGGGGGCCACTACTCGTGTGCGTACTTTTTGGATATTCAACTTGTCTGCAGTCCAATCTAGACAACATGTATCTTCCCGATTGGGGCAGGGGTCACTACTGTTAGCTACAGTGAGAATCCTTGCGTTGCCTATCAATGCAACGATGTGCATGTACAGCAGGCCTGTTGGTTGACTATGAAATAGCCAAAATGCTCCAGTGATCCTAAGGCGGCCTCGGGCGATATGCTCAAGGAAGCAGCTGAAGGCTACTGGTCTACAAGGCGACCGACCATTTATGGTGGCCCCGAGCATTCTGAACATCCGTTTAGTGTGCCAACTGGCACCAAAGCCCTGATATCAAAAGGGCTTAAACCTTTGAAACTTACAGGAATTGACGGATGGGAGACACTTTGTGGATCCCGACGAGACCCTGATATCAAAATGGCTCTGCTGAACGCTTAGGATTTCGTGCTTAGCATGGACCAGGATAATCGTACGTGTTCATGATCCCAAGGCCGTGGATGCGGTTGCAACTCTGGGGGATTACGAGTGAACGCCTCTAGGTTTGAATCCCGTCCGCTGAGCGTGAATTATTTTTAAGGGATATAACTTTCTAGGATACTTGAAGGCGGCCCTAGACGATTTGTTTGGGGAAGCAGCCGTAGAGATCCTGGAATATTGACGCCGACCCTATGTCAAACACTGCATCTCGCTGTAGGGGGTAAACTGGCGTCGAGGCCTCTTAAACAAGGGTCTCCAGTTGGGTTATGTGATCCAGTGCTGAAAGGGTATTGGACGCCAATGATGTCTGCCCATTTATGTAGTGGGATCAACCCTGTTTGGCTGAGTGCTTGCGGTTGGCTGAGTTCATGACATCTACCCCATGGTAGGGGGTACGTTCCGGCAGACCTTGTGGAACAAACTCGATCTTTAGCTTCATGTGGAGTTTGAAGGCTCCGATCGATTGTATCAGCGCAAGGCAGTTGGAGTTTTAGACGGTTGGAACGGCTACTGGTTAGTGCACTGCTGGGTGACTCGGTAATCCGTTTCGGGGTGCCAGGTCTAGCTGGTAAAGCCCACCCTGCCGATTGGGAATTGTGGGTAGTGGATAGGTTGGAGGGATCGAGTTGATTCATAAGTGCCCGAACAGGGGCCACTGCTCGTGCGCGTACTTTTTGGACGTCCACTTGTCTACAGACCAATCTGGACAACATGTGCGTTCTTGTTTGAGGCAAAATTGGCAACCGTGAGAATATATATATATATATATATATATATATATATATATATATATATATATATATATACATAATTATGGGCGGTGATCGAGATTTGAATGTGGTATGCATTAACTTCTTCAATTAACCACATGAGTGACAAGACAATAGCAGAAGAGAAAGTCTATTTGACCACAGAATAATATGCACAAATACTTGTCTATACATAAAAAACTGTTAGAAATCGAATTCATTTCTTGACCAATGGATATATGTTCATCCAGACTAGAAGACATGCAAAAGAAGCTCAGTCAATAATTTACTTGTGTTATACATGGATGTCTAAAGATTAGTTGTATAGATTTGTTAATAAACTCGTAAAGTTGCTTATAAGTAGTATGTTACGCAGAGCATTGCCTGAAAGTTGTCATAGTCAACAGCCGAAGAAACGAGTTTCAGTTGGTCTAGATGACAATATACTTGAGATACTCTGAAAATATGTTTGCTTATATGTCCCATCTAGACATACCTTCTTTTGTCACTAGCTAGCAGAGTCGCAATACTGAAAAAAGATCAAGATTCTTACAAATAATTCGCTCATATCGCGTTTGACTGCAATTGACTCAGCGCCAGATTCAACCTAAACTCTATCTATTTCAATTTGGATAAATGAGCCAGTTCGATCTCGACACATCTTATCAAACTAGTAAATGAGGATTTTGTAGACAAGAATCAATTTTCTGTGTAACTGATTATAATCATATTCAGATTTACACTTAAATTAACTTTCATATCAATCCTTCTAGATTCAAGTTAATTAGACAAAACCATGTATAGCAAAACGAATACACTTCGTAAAATCAATAATATAACCTGACCAAATTCCTTATTACTTAACTACTACAGTGAATTAATCACAATTTATTATACAAACTCTTCTCTGATTGGATGAAAATTTACTTGTTGACTGACCTTTGACAACAATGATGCCACTGATCAATTATTAACTAACTAACTAACTAACAACTACTTACAGATAAACAGTTGTGTGTGTATATAAGATGAATCAACGAGTGAGTTGATTCTTTTCAGTAATAATGAACAAACATAGAGGTCAAGGGTTAAATACTTTATTTTTTTTGAACTGTTAAAATCAATAATGCTATTTTTTTCAACAGTTGAAATCACGAATTGATTTTCACTAGATTATTATTAGAAATCTGAAACTCATGAACGACCATTTCATCCTTTTAGTATGGGACTGCTTATCACAGTGCGCATCCACAAGGGGGATCGAACATAATATCGCCAGTCTTATGCGCAAGCGTTCAATATCTATCTATCTAAGAACAATTACCATTTATAGGGTTGTAGAGATTGTTGTTGAATTTCATTGAAATCATGAATCAGTCATTCTTAGACCATCATTAACAACTTGAAAGCATTGAATGACCGTTTCATCCTAGTATAGGACACCACTGGATGTCGATTGATTGGTCTATAGGTTAAACATTCATGCGCTAGACTAAAGGTCCTAGGTTCGATTCCCGCGAGCAGATGACGTGGATGTACACTGTTGATGAGTCATATACTAATAATATTCTAACAATCATTGATTCATGATTTTTAATGAAAAATAATAATACTAATTATTATTAGTAAGTGTAAATATATACACACTAGATGAGAACGTGTTTTAAACAAAAGTTCATGATGAAGTAAGTTATTGAATTAACTTTTAGAACACAATGGAATTTGTATGAAACGCATGAATAGTGAGTGACAATGGATTGATGTTGCTCGCAACAGGAACAGTAGTCCAGTTCGATATGATATGAACTGATATTTTGCAAATGAACGATTAACAATATGGTTTTCCGATTTTACTGAGTAACTCTGTAATTTTTGGTTAAATACAATTCGGTTGCCCTCACCTGTGTTCTCCTTCACTAAAATAGATTGATCAATGGTTTTGATTGTTTTTTGTGTAAAGTTTGAATATTGAACAAATGCATTAATTTAAACAAAATTTAAAAAAAGATAATATAATCAATTACCAATGTTCTTGTAATCAGTAATGAATGAAATAATGTGCATAGAATTGTTGCATTCGTTTGAAATAATCCAAATTCCCATAAACCAATAGTATCATCAGAATAAGTAAAATATGATAGGAAAAATACAATTAAACTTTGCCATAATGCATCGAATATATTCAGCCAAAATAACCATGGACGATAAGCCTGATAGGTTAGATATTATACCATAAAAAGGAAATTATTATTATTTAAAATGGCGAAATCATGAAAAAGGAAACGTAATTAATTCATTCATATTGGCTGTTTGATTTTTCCGACTGACGGTGAGGACAGCGGCAGGTCAATAGATGAAGTAATGAAACTTCATCAGTTGAGGTGGTTGGGACATGTGTTATGTATGCCTAACCACCGACTACCTCGTCGAGCTATACTTTGTGGTGTAGAAATAGGTTGGAGGAAAAGCTAGTGGTGGCCAAGCCAAAACACGGCACAAATCCATGAAGTCATTGACAAGTGGACTGAGTCAGGTTGGTAGTTGTCGACTACCTGGTTGCGGTCCACGAGGTGATAATAATCGATGGTTAGAGACCCTGAATTAGCATGGCTGGAAAACGTTTGCAATGGAGCCGGTGCATTTATTCTCTATGTTCTCTCAAATCCTAATCTTCTGGATTAATCAACACCTCTAGTTTTGTCTTTCTAAACTTATCTCACTGAATTATACTTTTTGAATAATATCTTCTAATTACTAATCTCTCCGATTACTTCTAATACTTCAACTATCTCTACCACTATGGGATTTGAATTGACAGTTGCGTCTCTGCGGTGATGTGGTATGGCAACTTGAACTGCTGTAGTTACGCGCAAAGTTCTACGTTGCTGTTGATGATGATGGTGATGACTGCAATCGATCAGTCTCTTTTGCATATGTACATCTACGCTACAGATTGTCTTGTGGCTGTCATTAAGTCACAAACATTATAAGTAAATGTAGATGATAGCTAGCAATGTAAGTCAGGACGATTGCTTCGTCTTATTTGGGACTTCTCAGCCAGCAGCTAGATGTTCCCACATCCTAGGGTTGATGTCCGTTTTGAGACTCGAAGCCGGTACTGCTCGCTTGAAACTCTATCTCTTTATTCATCAATGGAAAGATTCAAACAACCAAAATAAATGATGAGTGGATCGCGTGATAAGATTCTAAGTGAGCGGTACTAGGTTCAAGTCCCGGACTGAACACTAACTTTCCGATGCAAACAAATGCGGCTGATGGATCCTAAACAGAACGAAACGCGCTGCCGGAAAACAAAATTAGTTGTTGAAATGATTCCGAACGTGTAATATACTATTATGTGGACGACTACATTTAAATAGCGACAGAAATACAGAGATACAACTCGGTAGTGCTGGGATTAAGTGAGACCGCTTAAGCACAATCTAAAAATAAATGACTAACTTCAAAGAGGGATATTGTTATATTCTGATCATGATAAAGAAAACGCTTCTCTGCCGATACACAAGAAGTTGTACTGATATTGTCCATATAAGCATAAAAAACGGTTTATAGGCTAAGAAATCCAAGGCTTCAGGATCATACAGGCATCTTTCAAAACACGAAAAAGGAATATACCCACTGTCATCCAGTGCTACTTCACCGCCAGTGGTATAGAAGTAAAGGTGAAAAAGAAACGTTTTGTGAGCGACTACGGTTTATACGGAAGAAATGCCCATAAACAGACGTAAAAGCTAATGTCGAGATAAACAACACCGGATACAAACACATATCGTAAGCGCATTATGGACTTAGAGAAGGAAATAAATGAGAATAGTGAGAGATTGACAAATTGATATGCTTTCAACAACATGGTCATAAGTGCCAAAATTTCTGTTGTGATGTTTCGTTCTCTGAGCTGAATGCTTTGATTGTGGAGCTTTCATTGTTCTTCTGAACAACATCATCAGCAAAAACTTCATTTGGACTCCAAAACCAAAACATTCAGCTCAGGGAACTAAACACCACAACAATCATCCAGATGAGCTATAAATTTTCTCCATCATCTCGGGAACATTTTCTTCCACAAATGCATATACGAAAGTTTGCTAAAAAACACTTCGGTAAATTGAATCGAACACACTAAAAAAATTATCACGAGGTATAAATAAAGCTGAATTTGAAACTACAGAAGTACTGTACAATCGGACAAGATGCACTACAAGAGAAATCGGGAAGGTTCATTTAGAGAAGAAAAACACAACCTGGAAAAATCAGAAGACAGTAGTTAAGCAACAGCCGAATAAGAGCAGAGAAAGAAATATGTAAGAACTGTGTGTGTTAAAACCAAGAAGCTAACATAAATCGTGAAATTGACTTTTTTGAGGATCTATCATATACAAACGACATAACAGACCATTGGCTAACAACTGGCTGAAAGCAACTCATTGTTATCCATAAACTGAAACTTAATTGAGAAAAAGGTATCCGACAGTGTGAACAGAAAAAATCTTATAGAATCTATTTTTATGCTAAGGAGTATCTGAAAAGATCTAACCAATAAATAGTCAAAGATCCTATCACGGACTGTAATGCAAAATGACAACTGATGTCAGTCAAACAAGGTTACTTATTTTGCTGTTATCTCTTTCTGATAGTTGTAGAGTGAATGCAGTACTAAGACCTTCAAGTTCCCCAGACAAGTACAGAATACAGTGGATGTAGTTGGATGACTTAGTCCTCCTACAAAATACAACCAATGTGGTAGTGTGGCTTCTGAAGAGAAAGATTTTAACACACACAATTGAAAAAGCAAGCGTTAATCTAGAACTCAGAAGAGTTGTTATCTGAGGACCAACCAGGTGTAGCTTTTGTATAATAACGCTAAACTAATTCTACTTTATGAGGCTGAAACTTGGAGACATTACCATCGGGACCAGCTACACAGCTACCTAAGCAAGATACTCCGGATTAATTGATCAAAGGCCTATTGTGGTAGAGAATAAAACGCTTGACGGATGCTGAAGATGAATAGCACAGTTTGCAGTAACCATCAAAGTGTATGAAAACGGTAAAAATCAAGATAGTAACAATAATATTAATAGTAAATAATAACGATAATTAGTGATGAGAAATACTTACTTAATTACTTACTTACTTACGCCTGTTACCCCGCCAAATGGAGCATAGGGAACCTACCAGTTTCCTCCAACCAACTCTGTCCTGGGCTTCCCTTTCTAATTCTTTCCACTTTTTGTTCATTCCTCTCATATCTTTCTCTATTTCTCGGCGTAATGTGTTCTTTGACCTTCCTCTTTTCCTTTTGCCTCGAGGGTTCCAAGTGAGGGCTTGTCTCATGATGCAGTTAGGTGCTTTTCGTAGTGTGTGTTCTATCCACTTCCACATCTTCTTCCTGATTTCCTCCTCCATTGGAATCTGGTTTGTTTCCTTCCACAGTTCGTTGTTGCTGATGGTGTCTGGCCAACGAATCCTCAGTATTTTGCGTAGACAACTGTTAATAAACACTTGTATCTTCTGGATGATGGCTCTGGTAGTTCTTCAAGTTTCCGCTCCATATAGTAGAACTGTCTTGACATTCGTATTGAAAATCCTGATTTAGGTTTTGGTTGAAAGTTGTTTGGAGTTCCAGATATTTTTCAACTGTAGAAATGCAACCCTTGCTTTGCGAATCCTCGCCCTCACATCTGCATCGGATCCACCTATCTCGTCGATGATGTTGCCCAGATATGTCAAGGTGTTAACGTCCTCCAAGGCATCTCCATCAAAAGTGATTTGGTTGGTGCATGTTGTGTGGCTTTTGCTTTTTCCTTTATGTTGAGACCTGCTGCTGCTGCAGAGGCTGCTGCTACACTGGTTGTCTTCTCTTGTTGCATTTGTTGTTGCGTGTGCGATAAAAGAGCCAGGTCATAATAATAATAATAATAATAATAATAATAATAATAATAATAATAATAATAAAAAGAACAGTTTTTTTTTGTACACTTTCTCTTACATAACCATATATTCCAGTTCGATATAATATAGGATTTGCTAATAAAGTTTTCTCATCTAATGGATTATCCCAAATGCCCATTATGAATGGTGGTAAACCAGTCATTGTAACACTAAATAAAATTTGTGATAATTGATCAATTGCATTACTACCCGAAAAACCATTGAACATTTGAAACCAAAATAATAGGAATATATAAATCTAGGGGAAAAAAAAGAAATAAACAATTTGATTACTACTTAAATGAATAGAGAGTAGTATGATTTTTTATTTGTAATATATTTATAGAAAATGTAGAAGAGAAAATAAACAGTACGAAAAGTAGAAATGTTAAGGCACTTGGCTTATTGAATGCTTCCAGGTTTCTAATGGTGATCTAATAATATTGATCAGTTCGTGATTTCAAAGTAACTCAACAATCTCTTCAGCAATTTGGTGAAAATTAACATGTGCTCAACTAGTGACTAGCTAGCTCTGTGAGGAAGTTTCTTTGAGTTTTAATGAAAAGTCGTGACCAGTGGAGTTCAATCATGTTGCAATGTGAAGCAGTGTTCACCGAAGACAGTGGATTGATTAAGTTATTCATTAATTCTGGCTCAGTGGTTTATAGGTTAAGCGTTCGCGTCCGAGATAAAATGTCCTGCGTCCGGTTCCTGCAAGTAGCGGGAGTTGTGAATGAGCACTGATAGAGAGTCTCATATCAGGACGAAACAGCCATCCAGTGCTTCCAGGTTTCTAACAGTGGTCTAAAAATGGTCGATTAATGAATACGTCTAAGAGTATACGTGTTTCTTACAGGACTTCCGTTTGTCATTCATTCATTCAGTCAGTCAGTCAGATGCAACGTAGAACTTCGTACGTAAGTACATCAGTTCATGTTGCCATAGCACACTAGCACGGATTTGTCATTATAAGTATAAATTCAATATTTATTACTTCATTCTGAGAATACAAACACGCAAAAATAATTGTATATTTTGGTTTGTTTAAAATGAGATTTTTCCCATGAATACTACTTATAACGGGATTTCCGAATTATAGGTGACCGAGTTTACACTATCAATGTGGATTGAATACTCAAAACTCAGAGACTAGAACATGTTAGACTAGACACACATAATCGATTCACGGCAAAAATTGAAAACTTGAATAAACGATAGATAATATTTTTTCTATTCAACACAATTTAAAGTAATCACACTGAATGAGTTCGGAGTAAAAATCAATACAAGGAAATATAGTCGTCACATGTTTGATGAGAGTTAGTGTTAGCTAAATGCCTATTTGGTCAAGCTTGATGACCAATCAGATTTTCCTTTCACTACTCTATACATTACATATTCTTCTCAATTCTTTTAGCCGGTGTTCTGATTATTAAACTGGCAATGTGGAATGTCGATAGATGATACGTACAGTAATCATGTTACGAAAGGATATTCAAACTTTAACACCACTCACTCAATCATAATTCACATAAAATCTGGTACAAATATGCGTGAATTCAAGTTGTTACTCCAATTCTTGATAGGTAACTATTTAATGTCTTGATGAAATCCATAAACTGATGAGTATCAGTTACGCTGGCTATGACCTCAGAAAAAATGAATATTCCATAAGAACTTAGTTATTGACCAAGTTAAGTTAGCCTACTTTTATTTTCTGTAGTTTAATTAAATGCGAGCATAAACCGGTCACCAATAGTGGCGAATAGCAAATCTGTTCACTATGCTGAATGGGGGAAAGTTATTCGTGAAGCGCGATCTATCTGATGCTTATTTGCAAGTGGAAGTCGATGAAGCATCTAAAGAGCTGCTTATTATCAATACTCATTGTGGTTTGTTCCAGTACAACCGTCTGCCTTTTGGAGTTAAGACTGCCCCATCTATCGTCCAACAACTAATGGATACTATTTTATCAGGTATCTCTAGAGTCGCAGCTTATCTCGATGATATTTTAATTGTTTCGAAGACGTTAGAACAGCTACGGGAACGCACGACATTGGTACTACAACGCACCAGTGACAACGGGTTCCGGTTACGCTCAGAGAAATGCCAGTTTTCATTGCAATCGGTGAAGTATTTGGGATTCATTTTTGATGCCGACGGTCACAGACCGGATCCTGAGAACATCCGAGCTATCAAACTGGTGCCTAGTGCCACCAATGTCTCGGAATTACGATCCAATCTCGGATTAATCAGTTATTATTCAGTGTTTGTTCTTTCGATGCATGATATTCGCGTTCCATTGAGCTGTATGCTGCAGAAGAACAGCACTTGGAACTGGACTAGAGAGTGTGATGCGGCGTTTTGTAAACTGAAGTTCATAATTAGCTTTGAATAGTTACTAACACACTATGATCCAATCATCACAGCGGCAGGCACTTCCGTCTATGGCCTAGGTGCTGTTATTTCACATCAGTTTCCAGACGCCTCAGAAAAAGCCGTTATGCATGTATCCCGTACACTAACCCCAGCAGAAACGAAGTACAGCCAGATAGAGAAAGAGTCTCTTGCCCTTTTGTTTGCTGTTCACCGTTTCCACAAGTTTTTGTACGGTCGGAGATTAACGCTTCTCACAGATCACAAGCCTCTGTTAGTAGTATTCGGTTCTAAATCTGGCATTCCAGCCCATTCTGCAAATTGTCTTCAGCGATGGGCCTTGGTGCTTTTGGGGTGTGATTTCGAAATCCAATATCGACGCACTCAACAATTCGGTCAGGCAGACGCTTTGTCACGACTCATTAATGATCAAGTAGCGGCTGATGAAAACATGGTAATCGCATCTCTGTCAGTAGAAGACCACGCAGAATGTTATCTGACAACCACAGTTCGCGCATTACCGGTGTCTGCAACAGACATACAAAATGCTTCTAGAAACGATCCCATCATCAAGATGACGATGAAATATGTCACTAACGGTTGGCCGTTGAAGAAATTCGATGGTGACATGAAGCTGGAATAGTTCCGACAATCCTGTTGTTGATATTTTTTGACTGAAATTTGATCAGTCCTGGTTGTCCTACGCGGATTGCCTCGATGTGACTGTTAGGATACAAGTTTATATTGGCTAGCCACAAATCAATGGCTATCTATACCCAGCAGATAAGTGAATAACGTGATGACACCAGAAGCGAACGGCATCATGTTCGAGTCTCCGAATGATACCGACCCAGGAATGGAGGTATGTTCAGGTGACAGGTTTCAAAAATGACCTGGCTTCCACTGCTAACCACAGTCACTCTATTATATACATAGTAAACAGCTTAACTGGAAATTCGCAAACCTCCTAATTGGTTGCTTTAAAATGTAAGCATCATTTTTAATACGATTTATAATGTGCGTCTTGTAAAAGGAAAATATCATTATAAAATATTATCATATGAAATCATGAATCGATCAATGTTGGAACACCATTCGAAATTTAGAAGCTCTGGAGGGCTGTTTCCTCCTAGTATAAGGCTAATTAACAGTGAGTATCCAAGACCTTCGCATGTGAGAATAAAACCCAGAACCTTCGATCTCGTGTGCGTGAATACTTACTTAATCTTATGATTGCTGAGAGTCTAATAATGAAAATTATCATTTGGTCACTAGTAACTAGCTCCATGAGGAAGTTTCTTCAAGTTCTTCGTAAGAAGTTCAATCCCGTCGTCGAGTGTGAAGCATGACCCACCAAAGACAATGAATAAGGTTGCTCAAGAACACAGATTGATCGCAGATGGAAATTAACACCGCCGGATGCTGGTACACTGGTCTAAAGGTTAAGAGTACGCGTGCGGGACCGAACGCTCCAGGTTCGAGTCCCAAAAGCGGAGGTCATGGATCCGCACAGCTGATGAGTACCATACTAGGTGGACGAAGCATTCATCCAGTGCTTCTTTCTATTGGTCAACCTAACATTGATCGATTCATGATTGAATCAAATGATCATCATTTATTTATCTTATTCACTTACTGCATCTTTATAAAAACGACCAGTCCTGGAACATAGACACACACACATTTAGACGTCCGACAATAGTTGTGTTACTGGACTTAAAAGCGGCATTTGGACTCTGTGGATCGTGAGGTTCTGTGGCAGTGTCTGTCATTGAAAGGTGTACCAAAGAAGTACATTAACCTTATATAAGCATTCTACTCGAACACTACTGGTTGAGTGAGAGCTTATGGCGAACTGTCACCGGAATTCCTGACTTCAAATGGTGTCTGTCAGGGATGTCCACTTTCTCCATTCTTGTTTAACTTTGTCGTAGACATCCTCTTAGAGTTAACATTAAGCTCGTCAGATTTTTCAGGGGTTGACCTTCTACCAGAAATGTCACCTACTGATCTAGAATATGCCGATGACATAGTTCTATTCGATGAAGACGCTGACAAAATGCAGAGTCTTCTCACTACCATAAGCAACAATGCAAGCATGTTCGGGATGCGGTTCTCACCCTCGAAATGCAAAATGTTGCTTCAAGATTGGGTTGCATCGGCACCTGAACTAGTGATAGGGAGTGAAGTAGTCGAACGTGTAGACCGCTTCACTTATCTTGGGAGTCTCATCAGTGCTGATGGCCTGGTGACCGACGAAATCTCAGCGCGGATACAGAAAGCTCGATTTGCTTTTACCAATTTACGCCGTTTATAGTGTAGGCGAGATATCCGTTTGATAACAAAAGGAGGGGTCTACTGCGCAGCAGTTCACTCCGTTCTCCTACATGGCTGTGAAACATGGCCGTTAAGAGTAGAAGATGTTCGTAGGTTGCTAGTATTCAATCATCGATGTTTAAGAAGCATTGCTCGTATATCCTGGGACAACCGAGTGAGCAATGCTGTCGTTAGGAAACGAGTACTAGGTAAGGATGGAAGATCAATCGATGAAGTGGTGAAACTTCATCAGTTGAGGTGATAAGTCCCATACTAAGATGACGAAGCATTCATCCAGTGCTTCTATCTTTCTATTGGTCACCTAACATTGATCGATTTATGATTGAATCAAATTATCATTTAATAACTTACTGCATCTTTATAAAATAAATATAGTGAAGTATGTGCAAGTTTATCATAACAACAATGCCCATGGACAAGTAATAATTGTTTTAAGAATTGAAATCGACTAATAGCAAAATCCGATGCCATAACAGCTTGCATACCCTCCTCACCACTATTTATACCAATGCCAACATTAGCTACTTGTATCATATTCACATCATTAGCACCATCACCAATAGCTAAAGTTTGAACATTTAATTCATCTTTAATTAAACAAACTATTGCGGCCTTTTTTGAAATGGAAATGAAAATAAAAAAATGGAACAAAAGGGGAATAAAAGTAAACATTTTTTCTAGTATGATTAAACTATCTAAAAAATGATTATTAAATCACTAGTGGGTTGAAATTTCTCATGATGAATATAACTCTATTTGTAAAGGTGTATAGACCACACATGTTCACACTACGACAGGTGCTGGAACACAAACACACACACATTTAGACGTCCGACAATAGTTGTGTTCCTGGACCTGAAAGCGGCATTTGGACTCTGTGGATCGTGAAGTTCTGTCGCAGTGTCTGTCATTGAAAGGTGTACCAAAGAAGTACATTAACATGGTCGAGTGAGAGCCTATGGCGAACTGTCACCGGAATTCTTTACTTCGAGTGGTGTCCGTAAGGGCTGTCGACTCTCTCCATTCTTGTTTAACTTTGTCATAGACATCCTCTTAGAGTTAACATTAAGCTCGTCAGATTTTTCAGCGGTTGACCTTCTACCAGAAATGTCACCTACTGATCTAGAATATGCCGATGACATAGTTCTATTCGGTGAAGACGCTGACAAAATGCAGAGTCTTCTGACTACCCTAAGCAACAATGCAACCATGTTTGGGATGCGGTTCTCACCCTCAAAATGCAAAATGTTGCTTCAAGATTGGGTTGCTTCGGCACCTGAACTAGTGATAGGGAGTGAAGTAGTCGAGCGTGTTGATCACTTCACTTATATGGGGAGTCTCATCAGCGCTGATACCCTGGTGACTGACGAAATAACAGCGCGGATACAGAAAGCTCGATTTTCTTTTGCCAATTTACGCCGTTTATAGTGTAGGCGAGATATCCGCTTGCTAACCAAAGGACGGGTGTACTGCGCAGCAGTTCGCTCCGTTCTACTATATGGATGTGAAACATGGCCGTTAAGAGTAGAAGATGTTCGTAGGTTACTAGTATTCGATCATAGATGTTTAAGAAGCATTTCTCGTTTATCATGGGACAACCGAGTAAGCAATGCTGTCGTTAGGAAACGAGTACTAGGTAAGGATGGCAGATCAATCGATGAAGTAGTGAAACTTCATCAGTTGAGGTGGTTGGGACATGTGTTACGTATGCCTAACCACCGACTCCCTCGACGAGCTATGTTTTGTGTTGTAGGAGTAGGTTGGAAGAACGGTAGGGCGGCCAGACCAAAACATGGCACAAATCCATGAAGTCACTGACAAGTGGACTGAGTCATGTTGGTAGATGTAGACTACCTGGTTGGGGTCCGCGAGATGATAATAATCGATGGTTAGAGACCCTGAATTAGCATGGCTCAAAACCGTTTGTAATGGCGCAAGTGCATCCATTCGTTGTGCTCTCTTAAATCCTAATCTTCTGGAATCGTCAGCACCACTACATTTGTCTTTCTAACCTTATCTCACTGAATTATACTTCTTGAATAATATATTCAAACCCTTGTCTTCTTCATTACCATTAATACCTCTACTATCTTTATCACAATGGGATTTGATTTGATATTTGCGTCTCTGTGCTAATGTGGTTATGGCAACATGAACTTATGTACATACGTATGAAGTTCTACGTTGCAGTTGACTGACTGACTGACTGATTTGTAAAGATTGAGATAATGGCTAGTAGTGAGATCCAGAATGTGAATTTCATCCTATTTGGAACAAATGTTTCTGATAAATTTTCAATAATTTTCTGTTAAAAAATAATTTTAAATAAGAAGTCGTGACCGTGTCGGTTGTAGGCAGTAACTACCAAAGACAATGAGTAAGGTTGTGTCAAATCCTTAAATTAATCAGAGTTAGACATGAATATCGTTGGGTACAGGTCCAGTGGTCTGGATGTTAAGCATTCGCGCGTCAGACAGAAGGTCTCGGGTCTGATTCTCGAGAGCAGCGGTCACGGATGCGCACTGCTGTAGAGTCTCATGCTATAATGAAACGACCATCCAGTGCTTCCAGGTTTCTAATGGTGGTCTAAAAATGATGTAGGTAAGTTGACAAAATTAAAACCGAACTTTCTGAACCTGTGCCAAGATTTCGTCAAACATCAAGCCGCCACTCCTGAAATTAATGGAGAGGTCGATGCGCTTTACCACTCACTTCACTTTCTATCATTCTTAGTTCAGATGTTGATGTAGACATTTACATTCACAAAGAGAATTCTATTACAAAGCTGCTAGAATTGTTATTCTAGGAGGTCGGAAGATTATATTTGATCAGCGTCTTCGCTAAACACAACTATCATACATGTGTATTCGGAGTTAACGAGTGAATCTATTGCTCGAAAATCTATTCTTGAGATATTAGACAATGAGAGCATCATCTTTAAGAGCATGTCTATGGCAAAGTCGAATAACGATAGATATTGTGAACAAATCTGCCGAACACTACCTGAAGTCGTCAATTATCATGACAGTACACAATAACATCTGGCTCGGGTAAATCTTGTGCAAACTTGGTGTACTGTTTCCTAGTTATTCCTTTCAATGAAATTGTCATAAAACCTGTCGACTTACGCAATCAAGGTTGAGGATTACAACTATGGTTGGTAGTCGGTAGGTACGTCCATGTTTGAGAACTGAGGAAGGGCGAATATTTAGTTTCCATTTTCATACCTGAAGCCGTTATGGTTTACCCAAGTTTGCTGTTCACGAGCCGCAGTTGAGTGTTGTAAGAGTACTGTGGCTAGTATTTGGTTAAAGCGATTTCTCTGTAGTGATCTTTATAGGGTTCTTGTATTGCAGATTGAAACGATAGACATTAGTTAAATGAGATCACGCTTAATTCCCAGATATTACTTGATATTTGTCTACCTCAGTTACTCAGTCAGCAACAACGTAGAACTTCGTACATGTACATACATCAGTTCAAGTTGCCGTACCACGACAGCACAGAGATTCATTCCATTGTCGATTCAAATCCCATAGGAGTTGAGATAGTAGAAGTGTTAGCGGTAATCGAGAAGATGAGGGATCGAAGATGTGATAAGAGAAGCCAGTAGAACCTTCGGGGCTACTGACGGTCCCAAGCACGGGTAAAGGAGGAGGGTTGGAAATGGGGTTGGCGACCCCATTCCGTCAAAAACTAACTTGCCAAAAAAACGCTAACCAGAAAAAATAATTCAAACCATTTTAACTCTGCCCTGGGAGTTGGAAGAAGAATTATGACGTCGCGTGATGAAAGCCGAGTTCCATCGGAAGTCACGAGGCCGATGCCTCTCCTGACAACCAGAGCAACCATTTTTTTAGGTACATGGAACGTTCGTACATTGTGGGAAACTGGAAGACTATTTCAAGTTGCTGCAGAAATGAAAAGATACAACCTCGAGGTGCTCGGCATCACTGAAACGCATTGGACACAGGTAAGACAACTGAGACTAGCTTCAGGGGAACTGCTGTTATACTCTGGTCATGAAGAGAGGAAAATGCTTCACATACACAAGTAAGTAATTCAGTGAAATTAATTTTATAAAGAGCAATCCAAAAGATTAGAACGTGATAGATAACAAAGAAAAGTTGCAACTGTGCTATTGCAAACGATTTTAAGCCATATCATTCAAAGTCTCTAACTACTGGTTACGATTGTAGCCTGGACCCCAACCAGGAAGGTAGTCTAGACCTACTAACATGGGTCAACCTAATTGTCAGTGACTTCATGAATTTGTACCATGTTTTAGTTTGGCTGCCCCTAGCATTCTTCCAGCCTATCCCTACACCAAGTATCATCGCTTGTCGAGGCAGTAGGTGGTTAGGCATTCGTAACGCATGTCCCAACTACCTCAACTGATGAAGTTTTCAATACTTCATCTATTGATCTACCATCCTTACCTAGTACTCGTGTCCTAACGACAGTATTGCTGACTCAGTTGTCCCAGGATATACGAGTAATGCTTCGGAGACACCTATGATCAAATAGTAGTGACCTACGAATATCCTCCTTTATTTTTTAAGAATGACTGTTTGTCTAGGTGTAATTAATCCTAGACAGATGCTGTGATCAACAAAGGAACTTTTTTAAAATAAGAAAGGCCAAATACAATAACTCACAATTTTCAAAAAATAAAATAAAATGTCATTTACCTTTTGTCCAGGCGTAGATCGACAACAAATAATATTTGTACACATTTCAGTCAATTTAATAAAACGTAAACGATTTCTTTCATTATTCAATACATAATTTAAACTTTCTCCATCAATCACTAAAGCCAATGGGATTTTATCTGACAGAATATTATTATTACTACTAATACTACCATGATTATTGTGTCGTCGTTTATGATGCATTGATTGTCTATGTTTACGATGTTGTCGTTTCGTCAATAAATGATAATATTTAGTCAAAATTGTAAAATATTTCAATGGTTTTGTTTTAAATGTGAAAGTTTTATTATTAGCATTGTTATTACTACTATTAGTAGTATGATGATATTCATGAAAATAAGTTATATCACGTGGTAATGATGAAGGTTTTTGTGTTTGCATAATACGTACACGATGTGTAGTACGACTACGATGCGGTGAATGCGATGAAGAACGTAGGATAATTGGTTTTTTTCTTAATTCACGATTTTTGCGATCGCATTGTTGTGATGTGTTGAAATAATAACGTGGATTTGTGAATTTTTCTAATTTATCATCATTAGATTCATGAAAATTATCTAAATATTGTCCACTAATAATACTATATAGATAAGAATTTAAAAGATATTCTGTACGAGCCTATAAATAGAAATAAAAAAAACATGAAATAAGATATACGATGAGTGATTTTGATTTTCAAACTACTAACAGTAATAATAATAAAGACGTAACTAGCAGAGTTCAATCGTGTCGAGTATGCGAGCCAGTCACTTATGGAAAACAATGGGTGACGTTGCGCACTACCTGGGATTGATCAGTGTTGGATATTAAAACAGTTGGACGCCGACTCAGTAGTCAATCGGAGTTATTGTGCAACCTCAACTATTGTCTTTGGTAGGTAATTTCGTTATACACATTTGAAATCATCAATCAATCATTGTTAGACCACACCATTAGAAACCTTGGAGCACTGAAAGACGGCCGTTTTGTCCTGGTATGGGACTCACCAGCAGTGCGCATTCACGACTCCTGCACCCTGCAGGATTCGAACCCGGGACTTTCGGTATTGTACGTGAACGCCTAACCTCTGGACCATTGGGCCGGCCGGCATCCAACGGTGTTAATGTCTAACTCTGATTGATCTAGGGATTTTGCCTTTGTCTTTTGTCTTTGATAGTTACTGCCTACACCCGACAGGGTTCAAACCACTGGTCACGTCTCCTTAACTAGAACTTCGAGAATTTCCTCACCAAGCTAGTTACTAGTGAGCACATATTACGATATTTTCAACGATATTTTCAATTAGAGTTATGAAGATTAGTGTTTTTACACATTTGACGTGACCAATGGAGTTCAACCTCGTCGGGTGTAGTTAGTAACTACCAAACACAAATGGGTGAGGTGACGCGAAATCCCTAGATCAATCAGAGTTAGACACTTAATTTTTCTAATCGAAAGTAACAATCGCACAAATTGAATGAAAATCACATGAATAGGATTTCAAAACTAAACAGTTTAGTATTTATAATGTTGTGTTTCATTGAAGTGATGAACCGATCACTGTTAAAAACCTGGAAGCACTGGATGGCCAACTCGTCCTAGTATGGGACCCATCAACAGTGTGCATCCACGGTCGGGCTCACGGTAATCGAACTCAGAACCTTCTGTCATGCGCTTGAACGTTGAACATCTGGACCTCCGGAATAAAGCTCTATAACTTACCTGCCTAAAACAAGCTACATGGAGTTATGTTGATGAAATGAAAGTCCAAATAATTTCTCAATGTTTGATTGATGCATGACACTTAAGTGAGAACTGATATACTGAGCCAATCAGAGGTGAATAAATGAGAAGGACATCTGACAACCATCAGAAAATGTCCTAAAGGACGAATAAATTCGATTGGTCAGGAAAAGATCTCCTTTCGTAAGGGGACAGAATAAATATATGTATGTTTACACATATGATTCAATAGCCAAATGGACGTTTTCTTCTACTCTCGTCTTGTCACTTGCGCCTGTGTCGATTTCGAAGTGGCCCGCTATCTGACTCTATTTTAGACGAACGATCAAGTACGCTATAAAATAAATCCGTTCACCAGTTTTCGGATATCATCCTTAGGCGAACTCCGTTTAAGCTCCGCCTGTAGACCCTACGGGGCTACTGCCGGTCCCAAGCCCACGTAAAGGAGGAGGGTTGAGATGTGGGTTGCCGACCTCATCCCAGAAAAAACTTACTTTCCAAAGAAACGCTAACAAGAAAAAATAATTCAAACCATATATAAAATCTGCTCTGAGAGTTAGGCGGTCTTTATTTAGAAGAATTATAACGTCTCATGATGAAAACCGAGTTCCTTCGGAAGTAATGAGGCCGATGCCCCTTCTGACAACCAGAATCCTTCCACAGTGTTGGCAGCCGGGAAGTTTTACATCAGTCCTCATACCCATAAAAGCACACGAACTCCGTTTGTGCGATGGCGGTCATAAGAACCAAAATACACATTCGGTTGGACAAGTTTATTTCAAGTAATCATTCATGCAGACAGACATGATAATTAATGAGAAGCATTCAGGCAGAGCGAAGCGAAGTGGAGAAGGCAAGTAAGAGAGCCGACTCCCCTGAGATGAAACACGATTCAGTATTTGTAGTCAGACAAAATAAACCAGACATACGATAAGCGACGTAAAAGGCACATGCACACACTCGACTAAAAACAACCAAGATATACAAACGAATAATAGACAGGGTCGAAAGACATTTGAGTATACAAACTACAAAACTGAAGTAGCCAGTTTGACGAGTTGGCATGTATCGGGACTCGCACATCATAGCAAAAACGATATAAGTAAATAAGCACTTCGTCAATAAATGCATACCTCAGAATGTGAATTAATGTATAATACTCTATGCTGAGATGTAATCAAATTAGCTGAACGAGCTATATTCACTGCAGTCTCTTGTTTATCCCCAGTTAACATCCATACATGCATACCAGCTTCACGTAGTGCATCAATAGTTTCTGGTACACCATTTTGTAAACGATCTTCTATACCTGTAGCACCTAAGAAAGTGTAATTCCAAATGATATAGGTATAATGTTATTGAAAATTGGATAGTTTTGTTTTAAATAATATGGCAATTAAACTGATATAAATAAAATACTAAACTAGTTATTTATAGTCTTCAATCTGATTCAGTCATACTGCCCACCTGACCATTCTCTGTCATCCATTGTATCCTCGCGATAGTATGTATTCAAGCTGAACTAATCAAACCTACTACTAGTTTACTAGTAAGGATACAGGTTAGTCAGTTAGTCAGTTGCAATGTACGTACATCAGTTCAATTCTCCATCATCTGATGGATCGCGTGTGCTGTTAGGGGAATGAGTAAGGGTATCACTTTCCGCCTTTCCACACCATGGAAGGGTGTTTCTTGAAGAACCTGAAAAAGAAGGTACATTAGTGTTGGTCTTAGTGATCTGAGAGGGTGACTGCAAGCCCAAGGGACAATTGCTTGAGGCCGGTTACGCACGATCTTTTTATGGGGTCTTTTGGAAGTGTTAGCTCCGCTCTTCAAAAGACCCTTACCCCGGAGGCGGAAATCCGTGAGATAGGGTGTGACACTTTTAGGATCGATTCTTTCTAACCCCCCTACTTCCGTTGTAGAAGGAAGCTTCGCTGCAGATGCTGATTGTCAGTACAACTTCTCGCTCAAGCTTCAAGCTAATGTTAAATGAAATTGGAATGTATAACTAAATAATGACTGGTTCAGTCATACTACACACCTGTCAACCATTCTATCCTTCCGACAGTATGATGTAATCAATCTGAACTAATCAAACTTACTACTGTGGTGTGAGCTACTTATAAGTAGTATATGACGTGAGCGTCAACGTAATGTCTGGCAGCGGGAGATGGGGGAAGATCAAGAAAGGAAGAGTTAGAACACAATGGAATTTGTATGCAACGCATGAATAGTAGTGACAATGGATTGATGTTTTGCGACAGGAACAGTCCAGTTCGATATGACGGACTGATATTTTGCAAATTAACGATTTACGATATGGTTTTCCAATTTTACTGAGTAACTCTGTAATTTCGCTAAATACAATTCGGTTGCCCCCACCTATGTTCTCGTTCACTACACTACTTGTTTACTAGTAAGGATACAGGTTAATCAGTCAGTCAGTCAGCTGCAACGTAGAACTTGGTACGTACGTACATATCAGTTCAACTTGCCAGCATTTGATTGTGAGCACCGCTGATGGGTCTAACAATGATCGATTCACTGTTTCAATGAAATTCAACAATCTTCACAATTGTATAATGAAAAATTCAATGACTTTGTAATTAGACTTCCCAATTATAAGTTTATAATCATTGTAATATTTTACGAAGATCAAAAAACCAAGACATGCTTTGATGACTTCAACAATGTTATTTGTTAAAAAATGGTGAATTTTTACACTTGTTAATTCACAAGTACTGCTCAAATTGTATCATTCACAAAAGGTTAGAATAGTTCGTTAAAAAGGTGTCAAGTTATAATCAATTACATTGTTTGAATAAAATGCATAATACGAGGCGCATTCTTTTATATTTCCCGGCTGCGCACACTGTGGAGGGACCTGAAAAGGGAATATCATTAGCGTTGGTCTTAGCGGCCTGCGAGTGTGACCACAGAGCCCAAGGAACAACTGCTTGAGGTCGGTCACGCACTGGCTTTTAATGAAAAGTTTTTAACGTGTTAGCTTCGCTGTTTAAATGGCCTTACCGCCGGAGACGGAAATCCCATGAGGTAAGGTAAGGTGTGACATTTTTAGGGTTGGCTTTTTCCAAACTTTTCCTTTCGTTGTGTAAGGCAACATTGCTGCAGATGCTAGTTGTCCGAGGGAAACTACTTCGCTGCTTTCACACTTCTCTATACTCAGCAGTACGACTTCGCCCTCACACCTTAAGTTGCTGCTTTTTTTCTAACCGTTATCCAATTGACCTATTTGGCATAATCGGACCTAAAGGAACATATGTTCAAGCCAAAATAGATCATCTGAGCCATGACGATAAATAAGCATTACTACCACGTCATGGTAGCTCCTACAGTTGAGACAAATCGCCATATCACATTAGCACAGAGATAAAGTGAAATACCAGGAATATATATCATGATGTAAGATAAAAGAAGAAAGTTATCTTAGATCAAGAGAGATGATTTTCACACAACATCATTTTGTATACAAGTTTGTACACGTCTATAATGATAACCTTTGTTGAAGTGCTATATTGTGGCTACTTGTATATATATATCACTGAGATGTAAACTATAGCTAGATAAGTTTAGAAAAAAAATCCTTGTTCCACCGAAAAAAATGTTTAAATCTTATTAAAAAGACAATGATACATAGTCATTTTAAAAAAGATTTAATTTTGTTTAAATAAGATAGATATATTATGACCTTCAAAAAGTGATACCATTTTAAAAGTGAGAATAAAATCTTCACTAGAATAACCCTTATTTTTTTTAAATAAATTTATGTAAAATAAATTCAATCGATCTAAAGAATTTTAAATAAAGAAATTAAACTTTTGGCGTAGAATTTTGTAAGAAAAAAAAGTGTATATGTAAATCAATGATGAAAAGATTTTATTATTCAACCAGTTTTTTTAAAATTTTCACAGTGTTTTTAAAACTGTTTTTATAATCCTTTAAATGTCCTTATGTAGTGAAGGAGAGCACAGGTGAGGGCAACCGAATTGTATTTAACGAAAATTACAGTTACTCAGTAAAATAGGAAAACCATATCGTAAATCGTTAATTTGCAAATCTTCAATCCATCATCAATCCATTGTCTGACATTTCACTATTCATGCATTTCATATAAATTCCATTGTGTTCTAACTCTTCGTTTCTTGATGTTGTTCCCCTATCTTCTGCTGCCAGACATTACGTTTACACTCGCGTCATATACTACTTATAAGTAGCGCGCACCACACTGATACATCGGATTGATAACAACTTAGAATCAAGTAAAATTAAACGACAGATGCAGTATATATATGCGCAAGATTTTAGTGAATATCGAAGACTCCTTAATATAAAAGTTTTTATTGATGAATCATCCTTTAATTTGTATTTGAGAAGAACTTTTCAAAAGATCTATCTATATACAAGAGGAAAACCAACAAATACCATGGTTCCATCAACACGTGGAACTAATGCAAGTTTGATAATATCCGAAATAACAGTAAAAAGAAAGTACTTTTTGCTCAAACATTTTTTTTGGTTCAGTGAACTCTGATAAGTTCATTCATTCATTTTTTTTCTTGATCAATTGATTGAAAAATGAAATCAAAATGCAATCAATTTTTTAAGAATTGCATTTTTATCCTGGATAATGCAAGGATTTTCAATACAAATGTCAAGACAGCTATACTATATGTAGCGGAAACTTGGAGAACTACGAAAGCCACCGTCCCGAAGATACAAGTGTTTATTAACAGTTGTCTACACAAAATACTGAGGATTCGTTGGCCAGACACCATCAGCAACAATATACTGTGTGAGAGAACAAACCAGATTCCAGTGGAGGAGGAAATCAGAAAGAAGCGGTGGAAGTGGATAGGACACACACTACGAAAAGCACCGAACTGCGTCACAAGACAAGCCCTCATAAGGAACCCTCAAGGCAAAAGGAAAAGAGGAAGGCCAAAGAACACATTACTCCGAGAAATAGAGAAAGATATGAGAGGAATGAACAAACATTGGACAGAACTGGAGAGGGAAGCCCAGGAAAGACAGAGTTGGTTGGAGGAAACTGGTAGGCGGCCTATGCTCCATTGTGGGTAACAGGCGTAAGTAAGTAAGTAAGTAATGCAAGGATCCATCAATCCAATATTACCAAAACGTTTTTTGATGAAAAGAAAGTAAAGGTTATATTTTTGTCCCCTTATATATATATATGATATATATATATAGATCAAAGAACGCATTACTCCGAGAATTGAAAGCAGACATGAAAACAATGAACAGCAACTAGTTGGAACTGGAAAAGAAGGCCCAAGACAGAGTAGGTTGGCGAATACTAGCCAGTGGCACGCTCTCCACAAGGGTTAACAGGCTTAACTTACCAAATGACTTAACGAATTAACCCAATGTGGTGGATGCTACCCACAAGATGACCTACAAGTAGTAGTATGTAGCGCAGCAGTGCCTAAAAGTTGTTTCTAGCGAGAAGTATCCGGAGATGCAAATACATCCCGTCATCAGAGCATTTTGAAGACTAGAAGAGGAGCAATTGAAAACAGTCAGAAGCCTGCTTATATTGCAAATAGATGGAGAGTGCTGGTTGGCGGCCTATGCTCCCATGGGAGATCACAAGCATACGTAAGTAATATTTCAATTCTGTGTTATTTTTAAGACTCTTTGAAGTTCTTCTGTTATATCATGGCGGTAGGGTAAAATTACGACATCAATCCATAGTATTTTATCTCAACTCATATTGAACAGTAAATTGTCTTGAGAAGACTGAGGTAGGCGCGATGGATTGTATTTACACTCTTAGTCAATTAAAAACCACAACATTACATTGAACACTCTATTTGCACACCATCTTTGACTAGTGACTTCCAACGCTCCATCCTTCTTCCATTCCTGTTGTTGCTTCCTTTACTTCCTGTTGGTACTCCATTTACTTCTTGCTTTTGCTCCATTTGCTTTCCGTTTTCCTCTTCTGACCGTGAGAGTTCTTCTTTCACGTCCCTTCTTATACTACTTATATCGTTCGTATAAGTAGCACACACCACAGTCTTACTGAACTTTTTACTTCATCCACTTCAAATCAATAACATTAATAATAATAATAATCACTGATCAATATAAAACATGTTTTCTTACCTAAAAGAATAAAATTACGTTCTAATTTATCCATTAGGGCTAACATAGCTTCTGTGGAATCATCATTACCAGTTTCCGCTTGATAGACTTCTCGTAACCATTCTTGAACTTCATTTTCTGTTAATAACTTTGTGAAGAATTAAAAGACGATTCATAAAAAGAACTCATATATATATATATATATATATATATATATATATATATATCGTAACAGTGCTCACTAGTGACTAACTTCGTGAGGAAACTCTCGGAGTTCTAGTGAGAGAAGACGTGACCAATGGAGTTCATCAACCCTGTCGAGTGTAGGCAGTAACTACCAAAGATAAATGGGTGAGGTCATGCAAAATCCCTATATCAATCAGAGTTAGACATTAACACCGTTGGATGCAGGCCGGATCAGTGGTCCGATGGTTAGGCGTTCACGCACAATACCGAATGTCCCAGGTTCGAATCCTGCGAGGTGCAGGAGTCGTGGATGCGCACTGCAGATGAGTCCCATACCAGGACGAAACGTCCATCTTTCAGTGCTTCCAGGTTTCTAATGGTCTTTGCACAATGATTGATTGATAATTTCAAATGTGTAAAAACACAACCCCTCAAAACTCTGCCTGTTTTATGCACTGTCTAGAAATAAAATCTTATGTGATAAGGAAATTTTACAAAACAGATAAAAAAAATTGATTTGAATTCTGTATAATATCTGTCGGGCACGTTTGATCCTCCAGAAATCATTTTGGAAAATGTCCTAATTTTGGATTTGATTTATGTTTTCGCGCATAAGCTGCGCTTAGTTGACCTTCAGCTTACATTTCTCACTCGGAAAATCCTTAAACTGTCATTGGTTAATGGATTATGTTAGAACGTTATTTTTTGTGCCACTCTAAAAGGACGTTTCTATCATTGTATAAATAAACTTGATTTGTACGCTTGTCGACTTCGTATTTGCTAGGTGCTTGTAGAATACATTCTCTACTCCTTTTTAAAACTTCTTGCTTTAGTTAACTGGGGCTGGGACAAAAGGATTAGTAGAATAGCCTATCATGTCGCTGCTTCATAGATTTGCGCTCCGTTTACCGAGTAAGGTGAATCCGTAATAAATAGTTTAAGCATATTAATTGATGAGCATATCAATATCAGAATGATGTAAAATAATTCATTCATGATCATTTGAGTAGAAATCATTTCAGAATCGATCAAATCACAGACTTCCCCTTGTATTTTTTTAAATGTTTGTTGATTATCGTTCTGTCAGCGATTGTAAAGTTTATCGATTTGAATTTGGACAAATTTTTGTAGACAGTTTTTTGTTTTGTTCAGTGTTTGCTGAATAATAATCGATTTTCATATCTGTTGCAAAAAAAACAAATCATAGTTTCATTGAAATCAATGTTAGATCAACTATCGAAAATCTGGATGCATTGGATGGAGATTTCATCCTAGTATGAAAGTCATCAGCAGTGAGCATCCTGGAATGGAAACCAGGACATTCAGTCTCGTGAACGAATGCTTCAGCCCTTCACCATTGATTCGCCATTCAACAGTATTTATGACCAACGTCAATCAATCCAAAATATTCGGAAACCACCATCAATTGTCTTCAATGGGTAATTTCCTCAGACCCGACAAGGCTGTACTCCATTGGTCACGGTTTCTCACTATAACCACGAGAATTCTCTTGCAAAGCCAGTCACTAGAGAGCACATGATAATTGTAATTATGGAGTTGTGGCGATTGTTGAATCAAATAAATAACACCGTCGGACAGCGGATGAGTAGTAAAGTAGTCAAGCGTTTGCACACAAGATCGAATGCCTTGCTTTTCATTCCAGGGTGTGAGTGTCGTAAATGTGCACTGCTGATGAGCTTCATACTGGGACGAAACGGTTTTCAATCGTGATCTAACATTCATTGATTCATGATTTCAATGAAATTCAACAATCTTTACAACCCTATAACAGTTTATATATCATACTATGGTATATTGATTGTTTAACTTTTCGAAATAAAAAGTAAACTATTTGTCGGTATAAACTTGAAGCTTTTCATTAAGAAAAGGGATAATTATGAGTAAATTTAAATTAAACGAACAGTAATTTATAAGGTAGTTTAAACAATAAAGTTATATAAATTAATTGATTATAGAACAGTTTCTAGTTTCTGATTATATGAAAGTATACATCCATTATTCCGTAAATTATTGAACTTTAAATACTCCACGTTTGTCTGAGGTCATACATATAGTACTACTATTAAGTCATTTAGGAATCTTGCTGTTGTAATCTTACAGTTTTTTTAATTAGAGTTATGAAGATTAGTGTTTTTTGTACGTTGAAATCGTCAACCAATCATTGTTAGACCACCATTAAAAACCTGGGATCACTGAAAGACGGCTGTTTCGTCCTGGTATGGGACTCATCAGCAGTGCGCATCCATGACTCTTACACCTTGCAGGATTCGAACCTCAGGAGCTTCAGTTTTGCACGCGAATAATTAAACTCTGGACCACTGGGCCAGCATTCAACAATTATCACTTTTAGTTTGATTTGATAGATAAGAGATATGTAATTAGATGTGAAACTGCCTTGTCTTAAGAGCAGTGGTCGGAGAGTAGTGAATAATGAAGAACAGAACTGAGTTGGTTAAGGTGGAAATGCTATGCTCTAACACTGACTGATACACAAAAAACGTTTAGTCATCAACACGCAACAATAACCAGAAAGCAGCTACTTTCTGATTAATAATAATTTAGCCCGATACTAACAAGCATTGAATGCAGAGGAAGAACACAACAAATTCAACGAGTAGCAGTTCAAGATTCTTTACTATATTTTAGACATTTAAAAACCAGATCGCATCACATTAATAAATGGAAAATAACAATTATACACAAATGAACCGAGGGTGGCTGTGAGTAGCGGAAGATTGTAAATAACACAATATCAACATAGGGTGAGTAACACCAACTCGTAGAAAACAAACTTGCTAAAAAATTGCTAACCAGAACAAAGAATTCAAACCATTTAAACTCTGTCTTAGGAGCTGCAAGGTTGTCGTTTAAAACAATTATGATACTTCATGTTGAAAGCCGGGTTTATTGAGTGGTCACGAAATCAATGCTCCTTCTAACAAGTAGAGCAACAACTAATACATGGTACATGGAATGTTTGTACATTGTGGTAGACCGATAGGACTATTCAAGTTGCTACAGAAATGAAAAGATACAACCCAGTGGTACTTGAAATCTGCGAAACGCAATGGGCGCAGGTTGGACTAGCTTTAGAAGAAGCACCCAGATGCGTCACAAGACAAGCCCTCAGTTGGAATCCTCAAGGTTGAGGGAGGAGAGGAGGATCAAAGAACGCATGACTCTAAGAATTGGTAGCAGACATGGAAAGAATGTACAGCACTTGGATAGAACTAGAAAAAACGGCTCATGACAGAGTTGATTGGAGAACGTTGGTCGACAGCCTATGCTTTATTAAGGGGTAACAGGTAACAATTAATATAGGTGCACGGGATGTTTGTACTTATTTACAACTCAAGCCAACTAATTTCAATGCATTATTGGTGTTCTTTGATATTTTAAAATAAAACATTGATGAAGTCTGTTACGCCTGCACGTAAACACGTCAACTTGATATACTTGAACTATTATGAGTTTACCTAGTCGGAATACGAGAGCGAGGATCGAGGATCCGGCGACACAACATGCTACTCAAATCCGATTATCCAAACCCCCATATTGAGTAAAAATAAGAAGACCTGTATACTACAAGCATTCAGAAAGTACGAGGTCCGAATCCAGAAGAGAATCAGGATCCCGAACTAGGGATCCAGGACAGAGGCCTGGTTATGGTCCTGGTCCTGGTCATAAAACGTTACAGATAATGCGTATTTATACATTTTGGTCGAATACGAAACAGCATTAAATTCTGTGACATTGACAGTTATGACGACCAATAAGAAACAACATTGGAGCACGATGTGACATTGATATCTAGGACGACGATAAAATTGACCAGTAGGAATGAACCAATAGGAATAGACCAATAATTCTCTTAGGAGTATTGGATGTTGAATATCCTAACAAAATCATCATCAACAAACAAATTGACAACCATAAATCATATAACAAGACGACACTATAAACAGAATATAATTGTAATAATACTTACTCGTTCAGCTATAACTAATGTTCTTAAACCTAAACGTGAATAATGATCAATTTGTTCTTGTGTATTCATTACTAATTCTGGTGAATTTAATTCTTGAAGGGAAATAAAACAATAAAACAAGATTTCATTTTCATTAGGTAGTTATACGCATGAATATAAAACAAATCAAAATTTTCGATCACATTATTCATTACAAATGCATGCTGCCTGAGTCATCAGCGCAGCTGTTCTCTTATTCTCTCTTCTTCCAGATAACCAAACCCATGTACTGCTCTGCACGTTCGCCCAGTACACAAGGTACCTTTAAGCTTAACGGAAACTTACCAAAGGCTAAAGTTACATTTGGTGATAGAGTTGGCTCACATCCGGGTAGATGCGCATTGCGCAGCAATTACCTCACTCGATGTAAACTCGGTGATGGTCGCCACTCCGTTTGATATATCTCATCAGCCTCATACACTATTCCCAGCTTTAGTAAACACAGGTATCGCAAGCAGTGAGGACAGTGTTTTTCCATCACGGGGAGCTATGTAACGCATTTGAAACCTTATGCTACGAACTTCTAGTTTCAAGTATCGATTTGTACTTATCTTGTGCTTGTGTTATTTCTGATGGCTGTCGACCGCTTCCTTCACATACTGTTCTCCACAATTACCCAGTTTACAAGGTATCTTCAGCCTGAACGGAAACCTATCAACGACGGAAGTCACAAACTATAAGACTCTGTAGCAAACTCTTAACATTTTCATCATTCAGTTAACGTTTACTGATATTTTTTGTATAAAAATTAAGACTGTTGTCAAATGATTACTAGTTTTTAATGATTCTTTAATAAAATTGTTTCCATGACAAAAAAATTCACTAAGCATTTGACGTACGTACGTACGTACGTACGTCAGTTAGTACTTCTTTAAACTTTATTTTTGATAATATTAACACTTCATTTAGAAAAAAGCACACCGACGAGCAAGAGTCATGGATGAGCACTGCCGCTGTTAAGTTCCACACTAAGATGGTGCAACACCTGTCCAATGCTTTCAAGTTTCTAAATAGTGATTTAACAATCATCAATTCATATCTTCAATCAAACAATCAAACAATCCCCGTAACTCTCTCTCTATACGAAGAATATAAACTAGTTTTTTTTTGGTAAGAAAATTAATTATTTCAAAAATAATAATTTATCACCTACCTGTATTATCTAAACGATTCATAATTGATGAATCGGCACCTTTTGTAAATAAAATTGGTTCATTTGTATATGGATGACGAAATAAAATGGACATACGTTTACGTTGTGAATCGAATGGTAGAATACGTAGTACATGAATACAGACAAGTCCATCTTCTAATAGGATAAAAATAATATGATTACATCACAATTATTTATGTAAACAGATTAACATTGATACAAAGTGTTACGCCTGCATGTAAACACGTCAACTTGATATGCTTGAATTATTATTACGAGTTTACCTTGGTCGGAAACGCGAGAGCGAGGATCGAGGATCCAGCGACACGATAGGCTACTCACATCCGATTATCCCAACCACCCATGTTGAGTGAAAATAAGAAGACTTGAATGTGGAGTAGAACGTGTATTCTACAAGCATCCAGAAAGTATGAGGTCCACGTCCAGAAGAGAATCACGATCCCGGACTAGAGGGATACGGGACCGGGTCCTGGTCCTGGCCATAAAATGTTACAGATAATGCGTATTTATACATTTTGGTCGAATAGGAAACAGCATCGAAGTCTGTGACATTGACAGTTAAGACGACCAATAGGAAGTAACATTTGAAGTGACATTGACAGTCAGGACAACCAATAAGAAACAACATTGGAGCACGTGACATTGATATCTAGGACGACCATAAAATTGACCAGTAGGAATTAATCAATAGGAATTGACCAATAATTTTTTTAAGATGTTGGATGAATATCCTAACACAAAGAAGCAACAAGACATAAATGCACCACACAAGTGATCGAATTTGTAAGTGGGTTAGGAAGGATACTACTGTCAGGTTATTCAAACCGAAGTAGGTACATTCCTCAGAAGGTCACTCTCTCTCCGAACCTATGATCTATGTGTTCGGACCACAAGTCATGAAGCAACATTAGGGAGATACAATCCAACGGTGATCGGTGACCAACAATAAGTTTGTACGTCATTACATCAGGATCCTGGAGCTTATATACACTGTTGATTTGAAATCAAAGTTTTCCAAATTTTGTAGGTAGAGTCGCCATACTCACTCAGTTGCTTTTTCTCGTTTCTTCAATTTCATTTTACAACACCCCAGCCCATAAGAACGCAGTAAATAGGACTTCTCTGGTAGCGGCTATGTACGCAAAGCCATGGGAGAGTAGTTTGAGAGTGAGAATGAATCCTCCATACTCTTGGCCGTTGCAGAGCACTTATGAGCCCAAATAACTTATAAAATTCAACTGTTCCAATTTTCACCTTAAAATTAAACTAATTTCAATTTATAAAGATTTGAATATTAATTTACTTAGCTGAGACAGTTAAATCAAATTTTGCTAGGCAACATGTGCAATTCCCATGAGTATGAATTTCAATTACGATTATAAGACAGTCTAGAGAGCCCCCAAAATGCCCTAGTGTGGAAAAAAATTGAGGAGATCACTCTTTCTCAAAGTATTTTCCCTAGAACACGTGCACATTAGCCACTACTAGGGAATTTCTGTTTACTGCCTTCTTATAGTCGAGGAGTTGGTTATGATATTGAAGAAATGGAAAGCAAATGTATGAAGATTAAACCGGATTAGTGAGTATGGCGATTCACCAACGAAAGTTAGAAAACTGTGATTTAAAATCAATAGTGTATATAAGTTCCAGGATCCTGACGTAAACTAATGACGTATGAACCTACTGTGTTGGTCATCGGTCACCATGTTACTTCAATGATTTTTGGATTAGTAATGTAGGTCATAGGTTTGGAGAGTGGTGACCTTCTGAGAAAAGCATCTACTTCGATTTGAGTAGCCTGACAGTATCCTAGCCCATTTACAAATTCAATGAGTTGTGTGGCGCATATGTCTTGGTGCTTGTTTACACTGTTAATGATGTGTTTATATAAGACAGATAAAAATGCCAACTAGAATTGTAGAGAAAGGTCGATAGGTGGTAGGGTACTGGCAATAACTTTTCTGACTTATTGCCCACAAAAAACAGATTCCCTGCAACTCATTCACGTCTTAATTCTATACGTGATTTATATAAGGAGTCAGTAAAATATATATACACGCCGTACAATAAAAAGAAGGTTGTGAAGAGATGGATACAAATATCAAGACCATTCTACTGTATGGAGGAGAAACTTGGAGAACCACGAAAGCCATCACAAAGAACATACAAGTGTTTATTAACAGTTGTCTACGTCAGATGCTCCGAATCCGTTGACCAGACACCATCAACAACATCCTTTTTGGGGGAGAGAACAAACCAGATTCCAGTGGAGGAGAAAATCAGGAAAAAGCTGTGGAAGTAGATAGGACACACACTACGAAAAGCACCGAACTGAGTCACGAGACAAGCCATCACATGGAACCCTCAATGTCAAAGGAAAAGAGGAAGGCAAAAGAACACATTACGCCGAGAAATAGAGAAAGATATGAGATGAATGAACAAACATTGGACAGAACTGGAGAGGGAAGCCCAGGACAGAGTTGGTTGGAGGAAAATGGTGGGCAGCCTATGTTCCATTGAGGGTAACAGGCGTAAGTAATTAAGTAATTTACAAAGATTTGAATATTTCGAAAGTGAACATATATATATATATATATATATATATATATATACCTACTACTACTATTGATTTACTAGCTGAGACAGCTAAATCAGATTTTGCTAGGCAACATGCGCAATTCCCGTGAGTATGAATTTCAATTACGATTATAAGACAGTCTAGAGAGCCCCCAAAATACCCTAGTGTTGAAAAAAAGTGAGGACATCACTCTTTCTCAAAGTATTTTCCCTAGAACACGTGCACATTAGCCACTACTAGGGAATTTCTGTTTACTGCCTTCTTATAGTCGTGGAGTTGTTTATGATACTAAAGAAATAGAAAGCAAATATCTGAAGATTAAACCGGATTAGTGAGTATGGCGATTCACCAACGAAAGTTAGAAAACTGTGATTTCAAATCAATTGTGTATATAAGTTCCAGGATCCTGACGTAAACTAATGACGTATGAACCTACTGTGTTGGTCATCGGTCACCGTGTTACTTCAATGATTTTTGGATTAGTAATGTAGGTCATAGGTTTGGAGAGTGGTGACCTTCTGAGAAAAGCATCTACTTCGATTTGAGTAGCCTGACAGTATGTTAGATCACTTACAAATTCAATGAGTTGTGTGGCACATATGTCTTGGTGCTTATAGGTACTATTAATTATGTGTTGATACAAGACAGATAAAATGCTCACTAGAATTGTAGAGAATGGTTGGTAAGATGTAGGGTAATAGCAATAACTTTTCTGACATATTGCTCACAGAAAACAGATGGACATTTTCACAAAAATACAAAAGATTATCTTCGTTACTGAGTCTACAAATAATCAATGCCCGTAACTCATTCACGTCTTAATTCTATACCTGATTTATTCATATAAGGAATCAGTAAAATATGTATAAATGCCGTAGTATGAAGAGATAGATACAAATATCAAGACAGTTCTACTGTATGGAGCAGAAACTTGGAGAACTACGAAAGCTATCATCCACAAGATACAAGCATTCATTAACAGTTAGTTGTCTACGCAAGATGCTCCAGATCCGTTGGCCAGACACCATCAGCAATAACCTGTCGTAGGCGAGAACAAACCAGATTCCAGTTGAGGAAGGAATTGGAAAAAAGCGCTAGAGATCTATAGGACACACATTGAGGAAATCACCCAACTTCATCACAAGGCAAACCTCAACCTGGAATCTTCAAGGTCAAAAGACCAAACAACAAATTACACAGAGAATTGGAGAAAGACACGAAGAGAATGAGCAGAAATTGGGTAGAACTAGAAGGGAAGACCCAGGAGACAAGTAGGTTGAAGAATGCTGGTCGGCAGCCTATAGATCCATTGGGGGGGGGGTAACAAGCCTAAGGAAGTGTTATATACATACATATATCCCATTTTATTATACACAATAATCAAACCAATACATAGAGAGATTGTATTGAAATTTTCACAAAAATACGAAAGATTATCTTCGTTACTGAGTCTACAAATAATCAATGCCCGCAACTCATTCACGTCTTAATTCTATACGTGATTTATTCATTTAAGGAATCAGTAAAATATATATACATACGCCGTACAACAAAAAGGTTGTGAAGAGATGGATACAAATATCAAGACAGTTCTACTGTATGGAGCAGAAACTTGGAGAACTACGAAAGCCATCACCAAGAACATACAAGGGTTTATTACCACTGGTCTACGCAATATGCTCCGAATCCGTTGACCAGACACCATCAACAACATCCTTTTTGGGGGAGAGAACAAACCAGATTCCAGTGGAGAAGGAAATCAGGAAGAAGCTGTGGAAGTGGATAGGAAACACATTGAGGAAATGACCCAAATGCACCACAAGACAAGCACTCACTTGGAATCCTCAAGGACAAAAGTAAAATAGGAATACCGAAAAACAAATTACACAGAGAATTGGGAGCAAACATGAAGAGAATGAGCAGAAATTGGGTAGAACTAGAAGGGAAGACCTAGGGGACAAGTAGGTCGGAGAATGCTGGTCAGCAGACTATAGCTCCATTGGGGATAACAAGCCTAAGGAAGTGTTATATACATACATATATCCCATTTTATCATCATCAATAATAATATTCAAACCAATACATAGAGAGATTGCATTGAATTCACTTACTTGGCAGCCACATTAATACAAAATCAACACCACGTTGTAATAATTTATAATTTCGTTTACATGCCTCTTTGACCAGGCATATTTCATCAGGACTTTCTGATTCATATGAATTGTACAATGTAGTGTCGGATAATGGACATTGATTTTTTAATTCCGACGAGGATTGTACATGAATATCTGTATCAATAGGCAATTCCAGAGAACTCCCATTGTGTATACGTATAGTAACAGTTCTAGCTGTATTGATAATTTCTAATTCATCATCGCCGCCTAAACGATTTTCTGCATTATTCACTTTGATTAAATTCAGCTGTAAATCTTTAGGTAGAATAGGACTTTCCATTGGATCACATTGGTCACTCCTTGAATTGAAGCCACCATGATCAGCTGCTGCTGATGTCGATTCAAAATCTGTAATGCAGTGAGAAAGTTTTCATGCATGAAAAATTAAAGAATTACTACTGATCAACAACGTATGTGACGTTTTATATAAATAATCTCATGATTTTTAATGAAACTCAACACAATCTGTAGAACCCTTATATCATGATGTGCTTACTGATGACTAAGCTTCGTGAAGAAATTCTCAGAGTTCTAGTGAGAAGACATGACTAATGGAATTGAACAGTGATGGGTTTGGGGCAACTTCCAACTGAAGTCAATGGATGATGGTTACGGATGGTTTTGGGTTGATTGAAGTTGTATATTACCATGGCCAGATGATGAAGGATGACTAGTTAAGGGGTAAAGTACTCACGCACGAAACCGAATATCCTGGTTCTCATTCTGGAGTGTGAGTGTCGTGGATGCGGACTATCGATAGGTATCATACTTGTTGGGGACGTTAGATCCCCAGAACTCACTTAAAAAAGGTCCTGATTCTGTAGTTTTGAATTTTTATGTTTTAGTGCCAAGAGACGCTTAGTTGACTTTCAGTTTACATTTCCCACTCGGAAAATCCTTGACTGCCTGTTGTAAACGCGGCTACGTAAATCTTCAGTCCTAACGGCGTCCAATTCAAATATCACAAAACGACCCAAAGGCTTTCCCAAATCTCCTAGAAATCAGAACGTAACACCGTGGCAGGAAGATGTTTATTGGGTCGAAAACAGCAGAACAAGTAGGCAGGGGAAACGGAATTATTAAGTCTTCCAGATAGCGCGTATTTATACACTAAGGTCGAATGAGAAAAAGCATCAACGTCCGTGACATTGACAATTTAGGACGACCAATAGAAAAGAACATCTGAATGACATTGACCGTCCAGATGACCAATAAAAAGCAACATTGAAGTATTTGACCCTGACGGTAAGAACGATCATAATTTCGGCCAATAGAATTCGACCAATAGGATTGCACTTCTAAAAATAGTATTCTTAGGATATTTGGTGAATATCCTAACACCTCCCTCTGAAAAGAAAAGAAATTAATAGCGATGCAGCCGAGGATTTATCTGAATTTTCTTTGGTTGTTTACGTTTGCGATCCGACCACCTTCTAGATACCAACTCTGAACTTGGAGGATGTTCTGCTTGAGTAGATGACTCAGTAGTCTCTGTTGGAGTTATTGTCGGAAGTTGAAAAGTATCCAACAGTAAGTCGAGTGAGAGGCGTTTCGTAATGTCACCCTTTTTATCAGCTTCCCTTGGCCTTAGTTGATTATGGTGCCTGGTCCAAATATCTCGGCTCACCCTGACATCATACATTACGTTCCCATGTTTCTTAGTGACTTCACCCTCTATCCATCTATCATATCCGTGTCTGTAGTCCCGCGCATACACTTTCGCACCAACTTCATAAGGCATTCGCGTCGTCTGCATTCGAGGTCTTTGTTGGGCCAATCGCTTAGGTGTCATCGCACTATGAACTGTTCGTAGCTTCCGTCCCATGAGCATCTCAGCAGGGGATTTGTAGTTTGGTAATAAGTCATGTGGGGTCGTCCGATACACGAAAAGGAATTTTTCTATGATGTCGTATGTGGTCCCCTCCCCTCTTGCTTTAAACATGGCTCGTTTAAATGTGTCAACGAACCTTTCGGCTTGTCCATTAGATTGCGGGTGATATGGCGGAGAACGGACATGCTTGATCGAATTTTGCAGGCAAAACTCTTGGAATTGACTGGATGTGAACTGCGAACCATTGTCTGTTACTATTGTTTCTGGAAGACCATGCTGACTGAAGATCTGCTTAAGAAGTTTGATGGTTCGAGTTGTAGATGGTGGGGAAATCGGCAATATCTCCGGCCATCTGGAGAAAGAGTCAACCAGTATCAGATATGTGGTACCATCTAGGGGTCCGGCGAAATCAATGTGCACTCGTGACCAGGGTTTTTCTGACTTTGGCCAGGGTACTGAAAGTAACTTGGGATTTTTCGCAGCTGTTTGACTCTGTGAACATCTTCTGACGAAATCGACAATGTGCCTATCCATGTTTGGCCAATATGCATAGCTCCGAGCGATGGATTTCATACGGTTTATCCCTGGGTGTCCAGAGTGAAATTGGCGTAGGACCTTGGGACGTAGGGTTGTTGGAATTACTACACGGTCACCGAACATCAGACAGTCGTTAACAACACATAGAGCACTGCGACGATTCGCTAGATGTTTCATATCACCACTTAGCTGCTTAACTGGCCATCGGCTCTGAACATACGTGATCGCTTCTTGAATAAACGGGTCGTCCCTGGTAGCTTTTTGAATATCTTCAGCGGTTACAGGCATTGCTCGAATGGCATTCGCTAAGAGTGTAGCACTGGGATCCTCTTCTGCTAATATTGTAGCTATGACGGTGTCATCATCAGTGGTGGAGTGGCTACTGATAAATCTGGACAGCGCATCAGCTTGGCCGAAATCTTCGGAACGTCGATACTGGATGTCGAAGTCGTACCCCAGTAATGCCAACGCCCAACGTTGAAGACGATTAGCAGAATGGGCGGGGATGCCCTTTTTTGATCCAAATATTGATAACAATGGCTTATGGTCTGTGAGCAATGTGAAACGGCGCCCATAAATTAGTTTGTGGAATCGCCGGACAGCAAAAATTATGGCTAACGCTTCCTTCTCGATTTGACCGTAACGTTTTTCAGCAGGTGTCAGTGTTCTGGAAGCATGTACCACCGCTTTCTCTGAGCCGTCGGGAAAAACATGTAAGAGTACAGCACCCAGTCCATGTGTTGAAGCGTCAGCGGCAACCACAATGGGTAGTTTCGGATTGTAGTGGGTTAGGAGTAGTTTGGAGCTTAGCATGGCTTTAAGTTTCGAAAAAGCTGATTCACATTGAGAAGACCAATTCCAAGTGGCATTCTTTTCTAGCAGATGATTTAAAGGATAACGTACGTCATGCAATGCTGGGAGAAAAGCTGAATAGTAGCTAACCATCCCCAAAAATGATCGCAGTGAGGAGACATCAGTGGGAGCCGGCATTTGTTGAATTGCATGAGTATTTTGAGGATCAGGATGACGTCCGGAAGCATCGAAAATAAACCCTAGGTATTTAACGGAACGTAAGAAAAATTTGCATTTCTCTGGACGAAGGCGAAAACCATTATCCTGAAGGCGTTGAAGAACTGAGTGCGTTCTGGTATACAATTCATCAGCAGTTGAGCCGACAATGAGGACATCGTCAAGGTAAGTAGCAACACCAGGAACATCTGCCAGAATAGTATCCATAATCTGCTGGAAGATCGCTGGAGCAGTTTTGATACCAAAGGGTAACCGGGTATACTGAAAAAGTCCTCGGTGAGTGTTAATTGTCAACAACTCTCTCGATTCAGGAGCGACAGGTATTTGAAGGTAAGCATCTGCTAGGTCTAGCTTAGCGAAGTATGTCCCACCATTTAAAATAGTAAATAAGTCATCTGGAATCGGCAGCGGATAGTGATGCTGCTGTAGCGCCGCGTTTAGTCCTGTGGAGAAGTCTGCACAGATGCGTATGGAACCATTGGCTTTCTTTACAACCACAATCGGTGCCGCCCATGATGAGTAAGAGACAGGCACAAGAGCACCTTCCGTTTCCAGCCGTTGCAGTTCAGCGTCAACCAGAGGAAGAGATGCGTATGGGACTGGGCGTTTTGGACGAAAAACTGGCGTAGCTTCTGGTTGCAGTCTCAAAATAGCTTCCGCTGTGGAACAAAATCCGAGACCAGGCTGAAAGAGTTTTGTGAATTGTTTTTGAAGATCTGCAGCATGTTGTTGTGTAGTCACAGGAGTTTTCACTTGATTGCAAATAGTACTGATGGGAAGATCGTCAAGACCAAGTTCTTCGAACCAATCTAACCCCAGAAGATTTAGAGGAGACTTGGTGATGTAGCATTGTCCCTCGAAGGTTTTACCTCTGAACGAAACACAGCAATGAAGTTTACC